ATAAATATACAATAGAAAAAAAATCATATAAAAAAGAGTTTGTTAAATATTGATGGTTGTAACATAACTAATTGTAATTAGTTTGATTATAGACAAAATGGTAACATTACAATTAATCAACAATGCAAGAGCAAATACAAAAAGTAAACTTTTGATTTTTAAGAAATGATATTATTATAGGAAGGGGAGAAAGTATGTATTCAAATAAGTTTTCTCTACAAAATAATTGGTCAATCTTAAAAAAAAAAAAAGTAATTGACATTAACTAATTAGGTATAGATTACCTAAACTCTTAGATTAGAAGTAAAACAATATGATCTTTTAAAGGACTTTTGAAAAAAAAAATCTAAATATATGATAAAACAAATATACTAACTAAAAGTATCTTTTTTAGTTCAATGGAAAGTTACTATCTTTAATGTATTTTAGATCATAGAGTTCATTTTCAAAATAAAATTAAGCTTGAAATTAAAAACAAGCCTTTGCTACAAAAATGTGAGAGAAACCCAATACTTTTTACTAAGAGTATTCAAATTCCTAACCATTTGAAATAAATTTTCAAACTAAAAACACATAAATTTTCTTAAAGTGAACTATACTGTAACCATCATAACCCAAAAATGGACAACGTTGAGATCTATAAGTAAAGGTACACAACCTCTTCGTCTTCCATTCACATATGTTTAATTATTATTTTTCTCTTAATTATTTTTTTATATTATTTATTTCATTCTTATTATAAAAGAAATATTTAATTCAAAATAAAGTTTATATCTCTTATATATTATAATTTGGTTAGCTCTCATATTTAAATAATATATAAGAAATCATGAGCTTCTTCAGTCATTCATGGTATAGAAAGAAAAAATTGAAGGTGAAGAGAAAGGGAAATAATATTTTGTTGCTGGCAGATATGAACAACTGGAGAATAATATGTTTTTATATTTATATGCATTAATTATTTAAATCATTTTACTGAAATTAAAAAAAAACTAGGTTTAATAAAATATATTGACCCTCCAATAAGTGATTAATTAAGGTTTCAATCTCGTTAGAAGACACATTCACATTAGTTTCGAAAACAATGTTCTTTTTGAAGGAACACGTTTTAGGTGTAACAACTAATGATAATTATTGCAATCCTTAAAAGGAACTGTATTAAAATTATAATAATATTTTTTTGCCAATATTTATAGCCACCACTCAATAACAAAAAGAAAAAAAAATGCCCTATTGAATCTAGATTTTCTCATATATTATTATTATAATAATAATAATAATAATAATAATAATAATAATAAAAAGGGACAGAAAAAGTGAAATAAATTAGCTTTTTTTAAGAAGAAAAACCTGTATATTAAATTGATAAATACTTTTATTTACGACAAATAATTATAGATACACAAGTTTGTGGGCAAGTTGCAACTATATTTCTTATCGTTCTCACGTTATTATAATTATATAAGGCAAATCAAGACTACTTAAAAGTAAATTAAGCATGATTCTAGAAAAATAAGATTTTAAATAAATTAATATACTTTTAAAAAGGTTTTTTCTAACTAATTGATAATATAATAGTGAAAGTAAAATCTTGTGAATGAAAATTTTGTAAATGAAAATATGTTTCGTGCCAATAATATATAGTCATCCAAAACAAAATATTAGAAAACTTTTAAATTTTTTTTAAAATGTTATTACATTTCTTTTTTCAACTGTAATAACTGCCACTGTTTAAAATGATTTTGTTGCTAAATATATTGACAATTTTGGTCCCACAATTAATGCACCATTGGTTTGATGAAAAATCAAGAGCGGTTGCAAAATCCTCCATCTCTAATGACTATAGCAATTGATTTAGTTTTCAGCCACAAAATTTGTAAGATAATAATTGGTTGTTGATAACAAAATAAAAATAATTGCTCCAATTGGTTGCAAGTGAGTCTTGGTGACCAATTTAGCCACCATCTTAGTCCTTCTTATTTCAGGTGTTAATGCAATCAATCATTAACTTAGTTGCTAATTGGATTCTTTGTTAAGTTGAATAATGGTTGACTGAATTCGTAACTAGTTTTTTTAGTTTCTAAACCATTTTTCATTCTATTTAACAAAATTTGTTTGTAAGAATTAAAAACTCAAATATATTATGTTAATAAAACGAAATTTAATATCTCAAATCAAAAGTAAAATTGTATAAAATAACGTGAAATTTAAAATAAAGAATAAAAACATGAGCATATAAGAATGAAAATATAGATTAGAGAACTTATAAAGGAGGAATAGGATAGAAATGAAAAATATATATATATTATATGATTTAAAATCTTATATAAGACATTAAAAAATTTGAATTATGTGTTATGATTTAATCTTAATATTAATGATGTTTAGTTTTGTTTGAATTTTAATTAAATAATTATTTGAATTAAACATAATTGAAATGGATCGATTTTTTAGTTTTTGATTTTATAAAATTTTAAATATTTTATAATAATTTTTTTTAAAGATATATATTACGTAATTTTTATAGTATAATTATTATTATATTCATAATTTTAATTTTGTATATTTGTAAATAAATTATTCAATCTTATAATTAAAAATACAATTTAAAGTTTCTATAATATATTTAATAATTATAAATATATTATAAATAAAATATAATAAAACTATGAAACAATTTTCAAGGTATATAATCATATGTTTTAATTAATTCTAAACATATAACATTATACTTAAACAATTTGATTCGATTTTTAATTTTAATCTGAAATCTAATTTAAACTACGCGGTTTAAAAAATAGTGAGTCCAAAAAATAAAAATAAAAATAAAAATAAAAATAAAAATGGTTTATTTGATGAGCCTAGAAATATTATATAAACCATGTTAATGGACTTAAAAGAAAAAAAAAAAAACAGTTCAGTAATGAAATAAAACATTAATGAAATGTGGAATCTAGTAGCAAGTATGATAGGTATAAGAAATTGTGTTGAGATAATCTGATGTTAGAAGTTTAAAGTTTAGCCAAGACAATGCTGAGTGATTCCCCTACAGAATTCTCACCAAACTAAAGGCTGATATGCTTCTACTGTGTAGAACCCGTTCCTTGATGGGACCTTCATGTGTATGATTTTGTATGGAAGTTGAGTGACTCTGCATGAGGGACGGTGAGATAAACAAGACAGCAGAGGCAATTTGTGAGGTCCATTTACACCGTTTGTTACACATACATAGCTTTTCTATTTAAAACTTGACAAGACTGTTGCAGGTAGCATCAATTGTCCTGTGACGAAGGTCAGGTGGGCCGAGTCACAATTGAATCGTGGCGCTTGGGCTGTTAAAGTAAAAAGAGTTGCGCTCTGACTAATGGCTATAGCTTTTGGCCTAGTGGTAAGCGCTCGATCCTAACAAATGGTATCAGAGCTGTTTATTTACATTTGCAGATTCTGCAATCCTGTCTCTATAGAACATGTTTTCATTAAAAGTAACATTTCTACTTCTGATAATTTTCTTGTTTTGGTCATCCCAAAACCTGTAGCCAAACATGTCAGATCCATAACCAATGAAATAACAACGTTTTGCCTTAGGGTCCAATTTATCTCTACTATTAGAGTCTAACATAACATATGAAGCACAACCAAAAACTTTCGGATGTGAAAGATTTACCTCTTTTCCGCACCATACTTCTTCGTGTAACTTATAGTCTAAAGGAACTGATGGTCCTCTCGTTTATGAGATAGGTCAGCTGTGCTTATTGCATCCGCCCAAAATACCTTGGGTAATCCTCGATCGGATTCTCATACATCTTGCTCTCTCATTCAAGGTTCTCGTTCATTCTTTACGCCACACTCGTTTTGTTCCGGTGTTCCTGAACTCGTCTTGATCATTCCGATCCCATTCTTCGAACAAAACTCCTTGAATTGACTCATCGTCATATTCTCCACCATTATCGGACTTCAAACATTTGACCTTTAAACCTCGTTTGAGTCTCAACGTCCTTTTTCCACCTTTTAAACACGAAAAACACATCGATTTATTTTTAAGAAAATAAACCCATACCTTTCTTGTAGAGTCATCAATGAAGGTTACATAATATTGTGAACCTCCAAGGGATTTCACTGAAGCTGGCCCCCAAACATCTGTATGCACTAGTTCTAGTCTTTCAACTTTAGACGACTTACTTGTTTTGGAGAAGCTAACCTTTTTCTGCTTTCCAAAGATACAATGTTCGCAAGGTCCAACGTCAACATGCTTCACGTTAGGTATTTTACCTTTTGATATCATGAGCTTCATTCCTTTCTCACTCATATGCCCAAGGCAAGGATCTCTCTACATGATTGCAGATGAGGATATGATATCAGTTGCAGAAGTTGGCAACAATTCCTCCTTATGGCATCAGAGTTGCGCAGCGGAAGCGTGGTGGGCCCATAACCCACAGGTCCCAGGATCGGAACCTGGCTCTGATACCATTTGTTAGGATCGAGCGCTTACCACTAGGCCAAAAGCTATAGCTTTTGGCCTAGTGGTAAGCGCTCGATCCTAACAAATGGTATCAGAGCCAAGGTCACGAGTTCGATTCCTGGTGGGCAATTGTTGAGGGGGAGATTGTTGCGGGTTGCACAATTATCCCGTGGCAGAGGCCGGATGGGCCAAGTCACAATCCAAGAGTGGGATACCTTGTAGGACAATTGCTGAGGGGGAGATTGTTGCAGGTAGCATCAATTGTCCTGTGACGAAGGTCAGGTGGGCCGAGTCACAATTGAATCGTGGCGCTTGGGCTGTTAAAGTAAAAAGAGTTGCGCTCTGACTAATGGCTATAGCTTTTGGCCTAGTGGTAAGCGCTCGATCCTAACAAAGACCTCACAACAACATCCCAAATACCACACTCAACTCTTATTATTATGAACCCACACGATATGGGAAAACCACACGTACATGCTTTGGTATATATATATAAATATTATTGAAAGGAGAAGATCTCAACATTCATAAGTGGCATAAAATGAAAAGAGCAACTATGGCTTCTACCTTTCTACCAAAACATTCTCACGGCTATGCCATTCGATCCATAAGCTTGCCAACTAGATCACATCCAAGCACAATTCGAATTGAAGAGGAGCTTAACAAGCTGAAATCATGGGAGGTTTCATCTTCCTCTGAAGTGGAGAGAATTTTCTTTGGTCTCTCAGGCCTTGCAGAGTTGTACAAGTCCATGGAAGATCTTTTGAAATTGCCACTCACCCTACAAGCATTGTTTCATCATCACAACCAAAAATGGGTTGATGAGTTGCTAGATTGTCCAGTGAGATTCTTGGACATATTGGGAGAAACAAGGGATGCCATCATGCTAATGAAGGGAAACGTTAGAGACCTTCAATCAGCACTTAGAAGGAGAAAGGTTGGAGACTTGGTGATTGAAAGCCATGTGTCTTCATATTGGAGTCTCAGAAGTGAAGGGTCATCATTTGGGGCCTCTCCTCTTTTGGATCTCAATCACCATGTTTCAGCAGTTGTGAGGGTTCTAAGAGAAGCTAGCTTGATCACCAGCTCCATCTTTCAGTCACTAGTGTCGTTTTTCTTTCTTCACCAATCTTAAGGTCAAAGCTTAATAACAAGTGGACATTTGTGTCAAGAGTGATAAGGAAAGGGGCACTTGTTCAATGCAACAATGAACAGGAGAATGTGAATGAATTGGAAAAAGTGGATTTGGCACTTTGCAGAATGGTCATGGATAACCTAGACAAAGATTTTGAAGCTGAGAACATTCAAAGTGCACATAAAGAGCTTGAGGGTGTGGTGGTAGTCATTGAAGGGCTTGAAAATGGATTGGATTGCTTGTTTAAGCACCTTATTAATACTCGAGTGTCTTTTCTCAATATAGTCTCTCCCTGAGTTACAATATGACACACATGACACATGTAGATTTCACAATTTCTGTGAGGATCTATACAAACAAATTAACTTTATTGACATTTTCTATCTGTAATTAAAGAAAGTTATGTTGAAGTAATTTTACATTTTTTTTTTAATCTGTTTTCCTCTGGTTTTTTTTTGCTGGTTTCATATTGGGCATTCTTCTCGTCACTTGGTGTCATTCACTCGACATTTTTTTTTCATCTTTTCTGTTTGTTTTATTATTATTATTATTATTATTATTATTATTATTATTATTATTATTATTATTATTAAAAATTAAAACATTTAACTTAATCTTATAAAATTATCTTAAAACCTCAAATATATATTATAAATTTATCATGGTTCAAGTCAATGTCAAATTTCAATATACTTTAATACACTTTTTTATACTGAGGATATTAGTGATCTAATAATAATTTAATAATATCGATAATATGTGATACATTTTAATGCGATGATCTACTAATTTTAATATTCATAAAATTATATTAGAAATAAAAATTTCTCTAACTTAATCTTATAAAATTAATTTAAAATATAAGATTTATATTCAATTATATATTATAATTTAATCAATATAACACTATACTTTCATATCAATTTATTCATTAAACATTATAACAATGTAAATTGTGAAATTACTATTCTCACAAAATTAAATGGAATGTACAAGTACATAAGCATGGCACTAGCGTAGCACATGATTAGAGTCGTTGGAAATTAACAAAAAGATGGTAGATTGAAATGATTGTAAAAAGTTAAAAAAAAAATGAAAAATTCATTAAGTAGTGAAAATTTTAAATGATTTTAAAAAGTCAGAATTTAAAATAGTTATAATAAGAAAAATAAAAATATAATGAAATAATTATTAGAAGAATATGTAATATTTTTCTAACCCACGAAATATTTATATTTGTGTTACGAATCAATTCCAACTAACACAAAATTATAATACCAAAAAAAATAAAATATATATATATATATATATATATATTCTAAATTTATTTAATTATTCTACTCATTATCTTATTAGTCTTTAGTTTATTGGAATTAGACTATTAATTAAGAGGTGAATAATGAATTAGTATAATTCTTTACTATATTTTTTCTTATCTTATATTTATATATTACGTGTTCTTGCGCATTATATTTCAATTCAGTGCTTATTATTACGACTTATATATTGATCATATTATCTTTTTTTTTATGATTAACCCCAATAACTAATAGAGATCCAACAATCTATCGTTCTTGTTATATTTATAAAAATCTTTCACTTTTTTTATAACTCAATTCATCACCTATTAAACCGAATAATTGTTCTTAACCTATTAAATTTTCAATGGGTAGTTATGCTATTTACATTCTTATTTTTTGACGGACAAAATTGGTTGAAAATTATATTGTCGGTAAACTTAGAGTTGGATGCTTGGTACTCTAACCACTAAACTACTAAAATTTTTTGATAATAATTTATAAATAAATTATATTTATATACAAATAAATATATATCCGTGTAAATATATAAATATAAAATATATAAATATAAATATATTTATATGTTAGATACTGAAGATGTGCTAGAAGGTAAAAGGTGTGTCTCGAATGAGTTTTCAAAATTTTGATGTCAAATCTGTGAGCGAGTCTCTTTATATGGGTTTGTAATTTAATAATAGAATATAATTTTTATAATTTATTTATATAATGATATATAATAATTTTTTTTCTTTCTTTATTTTATTTTATTTTAAATTTAATTTTTTTCTTCTATTATTTAAAATTCTTATATTAAAATAATTTTTTCAATATTAAAAATACTTAAATATTTATTTTTAAAATTATTTTTTAAAATTATTTATTTTAACAAATTATTATAAATTAATCTAATTAAGATTAAATTAAATTATTAAATAAAAAATATTTATTTTTTTAGTTAGGTGAATAATTAATTTATTATAATATATTTAAAATTAATTAATTATTTTATAATTTTAAATATTTATTTTTTTAATTTAATGTTAACTTTTAAAAATATACTTTAAATCCGATCGGTAATTAACTGTTAATTTACCGACGGATATCCGTTGATAAGACTAAATTACATAACTACTTTAAATCCATTGGTAATTTACGTCGGTAATATAAGATTTTCTTGTAATGAAGTCTGATATTAGTTAAACATATTTTATTTCCCATAATATATATATATATATATATATATATATATATATATATATATATATATATATATATATATATCCTCGTTAAAAAATTCTTAAGAATTATATGAACTAATGTCAATTTATGAGTTTATTTATCTTTTTATACGTATTTATTGAAAATTTTATTGAAAGAGAACTATATTGAAGTTCTTAATTTGTTCAAAAAACTTAACAAATCAATTATTGTGTTATATTTGCTTAATGTGTGAAGAAGAAGGATTTTAAAGCTAAACTTAATGTTTATTAGAGATGATAAAATAATTTAGGTTTACCGGTTTATCCAGTCAATTCGTTTAAAAAATATAAGATAAGATGATGATTTTAGTTCATTAACTCGTTTTAATTTATCTCGCCTATTCTATTAATTTCATGAATTAACGACCATAGAATAGAATAAAAATATATTTATATATTAAATTTAAAATTAAAAAAATTATAATTATAAATATTATATTATATTATTGAAATATGTAAATATCTTAAATATTATAGTTTAAATTATAAAAATTAATTAATTAAATTTAAATTATTTATTATAATTAATTACTTTAATAAATAAATATAATAAATTTTGAATTTATTTAATAAAAATAATAATTAATAAATAAAAATTTAAAAATTATTTATATAATTAAATATGTATTTTTAAAAAATAAATATAAAAATAATTTATATAAAATAATTATCTGTGAACTAATCGAGTGGACAAACTAAAATCTATAATATATTGTAACTAATTCACCTCATCCCATCTCATTTTTAACATAGATGCGAAATGATCGAAAACTAAACACATTCACCCATTTTATTATATGTATAAAATATAAATTATAGTTTAAGTTTTCGTTATAATTGACCAATTAAATTTTAGATAATTAATATTATAAAATATTTTCAAAATAATAATAATATATTTATTTATTATAATATCTAAAAATATCAATGTATATATTACATATGTACATGTAATAGAGGAAATCAAATGTGATAATATATTTATAATTTCAATTATTTGATACATTACTTGTACTAATGAACATGAAATTCTTTCCAAATAGTTTTTATCTCTGGAATTATAGGATTCTTAATTGTTTGTTTGCATAGATTTTGGTCCAACCCCTTATATTTTTGTTTTCTTTATTTAATGAATTTTAGCTCATGTGGATGAAAAAAAAAATGGAAAAATGTTGTGCCTATAACACATTTGATGGTGATGTCATGGTAAGATTTTTATTAAAAGAAGAACTATGATATTTTATTTTGAATAAACTAATAAATTTTTTACACACATCCACACATTTTCTATTGCAATACAAATAAATCAATTATTATTATTATTATTATTATTATTATTATTATTATTATTATTATATCCAAGGTCTAATTAATTTTCACTTGTCAGTCAATACTTATGATATTTTAACTAACTTAATTACAAACAAAGATAAAATAATAATAATAATAATAAAAAAAAGAAAAAGAAAAACTTAAAAATAACATTCACATACTCTAAATCATGTGATTTTGTATCTGTCTTAGAATACGGTGAATACATCTTCTCAAATAGAAACAAAAGTTAATACCAACATAAAATATTTCTTCTATCAATTCTCTATTTAGACTAAAATTTCTACTGTTGAATAATCAGACGGAGATAAAATACCACGATTAGTTCAGAGCTGATGTGTTTCACAATATGGGGCTTTTTGAGACATGAAATTCATATTCATTATTGAAGTTAAAAAAATAAAAAAAATGTTCCAATGACATATTCAAGCTAATAAGTATTTTTGGTGGACATATGGGTGTGTTTAACCACACAATCATTAATGGCAAACTAAGTATCAAGGTTAACAACATTAATTGGAATGCAACGTAATGAAACAACTGACAATCAAAATGGTAATATAGAACCATATAGAGGATGTAAAAAAAAGTCAAAGAAAATCAAAATTCAGATCTAGGGATGGCAAAATGGGCTAGGCCCAGCAGACGGCCCGCCAACCCGTCATAATATGGCGGGGCGGGTTGGTGTTTTCAGTCCACCAACCCGCTTTTGCCCGCCCGCTAAGCTCGCTAACCCGTTAGGCCAACCTGCGGGACGTGGCGGACGGCCCGCGACCGCCTAATTAATAAAAAAATAATTTTTTATTGTAATAAAATTAATTATAAAGATAATATATAAAGTTAAAATTTTTAAAAAGAGAATTAAAAAAGTTTCATTCTCACGAGAAAATATTCTCCTTCCCGAAATATAACTTTCTCTTCTGTTCTCCTTGTTTATCCTAAACACTCGATTATTTTTATCCTTATTACTTGAATTAAAAGTGTAAGAATTACTCAACCAAGAATAATATGAAGTTTTATCAAATAAAAAATATATAGGTATTTGAATTTTTTTAATATAAAAAATATAAATTTTATAAGTTTAATGTTATTTATATATATATATATATATATATATATTTGTTATTATTTATTATTATGTAAATTTTATTATTATTCTAAATTATAATTTCTTAAATTAAATTGAAATAATATATATATATATATATTGAATTATTGACAAACAAATAATAATCTTATTATTAAATTTATTAACAAAATTAATTTAAAAAAAATTATTTTTTTCTAAATTATGGTGAGTCAGCCACGCCCTTAGTGGGGCGGGTCAAAGTCTACGATCCATCATGACTATATCGGGTCAGTCCGTCCCGCCTCGCTTTTGACGGGCCAAAGGTGGGGCGGGCCAAAACGGGACGGACTGACCCGTTTTGCCATCCCTATTCAGATCTAACTCCTCTTAACTAAAAAAATAAGGATTCTACGAACACAAGGGTACCTTTTCATTGATGTAGAGAACTCTGGTTTTCCACCAGATTCTAGTTTTTAACATCATTGCCCCCATTATACAAAAAGAAATAGAATGGTAAAATTAAATAAACTTCTCCATATCCACATGTTAATTTCTGTACATGGGAGAAGCTTCTCTCGTTTAAGAGAGAAACTTATTTTACCTTTCTTTCTTAATTTCCTACTGTTCTAAACCTATGAGTGTTTACAAAAAGGTTGATCCAAACATGACCTTCATTTGATCTAACTTTGTGCAAATTAAAACCTCACAATGAACCAACCACAAGTCAATGCTCAACACCTTCTCACTAGCTCATTTTTATCACGGTCATTTGACCACTAACATGGCTGCAGGACCGTTAAAAGTCCAATAAGCACTACTAAGAAAATAAATGAATAATAAGCACTACTAAGAAAATAAATGAATTTATCCACAACTCAAAATTAAATTACATTGAATTAGAAACTCCCTGGTCTATTAACTTCTTTAAAAGATTATTTTATTTGAACTTATGTGCAGTTCAAGGAGAATATGCATTTATTTTTTCTTCTTATTTTTACTTCCTAGAATTTTCATTTTGTTAAAAATGCTTATGGAGAACTCACCCTAATCGTATAACAACAAGAATAAGTAAATTCCCATCTAAACATAGTATTCGATAGAGACTCTTTGGACGGGCTTCTCGGCAGGCATGGCAATGGGGCGGGTTTTGCCTTCCCGATCCCCGTCCCCGACTTTTTTAATCATTCCCGTCCCCGCCCCCGATCCCCGTCGGGGTTAGAAATTAAGTCTCCATCCCCGTCCCCACTGGGTTACGGGTTCCCCGTCCTCGTCCCGTCCTCGATCTATATTATTTTTAAAATGATAATTACATTTATAATAAATTAATTTTACTATCTATTTTTTATATATAAATAAATATTTATAATTTATAATAATTATTAATTAAATATATATTTTAATTTATTATATTTATATTAAAATATGTATGTAAAAGAAATATTTAATCATTTTTTATTTATAACATTATTATTATTATTATAATATCTGTATTCAAACATTTGATTATATATATAAGTTAATTCATTTTTAAGTTGTAATTTAAAAATATGAAATATATAGTTTATAATAAAATATTTAATAAGTTAATTATTATTCAATTAATTCAAAGTAATAAAAGTTTAAATTATCAATTCCTTTAATCCTTTAAAATACAATTATTTTATTAAGATAAAATTTGATATATGACAAATAAGAATAATAAGATAAACAAATGACATAATAAAACCTAATAAATATAAATTATAAATAAAATAATATTAGTTACTATTAAAATTTATGTAAAATATTTAGAAAAAGATAAAAAATAAAAAATTTAACTGTGTTCATCAAATTGATTGAAAAGATTGAAAAAAAAAACAAATTGATGAGAGAGATTAAGAAAATATGAAAAACTACAAGGTATAAGAGATAATAATATAATAAATTAATTGATATAAAAGATTAAAAAAATTAAAAAATTAAAAGATAGGTAGAAGAAAAATAAAAATGGGTAAAATATAAAAAAATGACTTTATATGTAATAGAAAAAGAAAAGAAAATACTTTTAAAATATTAATATTTTAAATTTAAATATAAAGTCGAGGCGGGACGGAGTCGGAGTCGAGGTGGGGATTGCATTACCCATCCCCGACCCCGCGCCCGACTTTTAAAGCGCGAAAAACCCGAACCCGCCCCGCCCCGATCAACTCGGGACGGGGATGGATCGGTCCCTACGGGGATCGGTTTAATTGTCATCCCTACTTCTCGGTAAATTTTTCAAAAGAGAAAAATAAGTAAAAAAAAAATGAAATTAAAAAAAAAAAAATGAAATTTAGCCTACGCACAAGTTAAACATTAAAATCTAAAGAAGTTACATAGCATTTGCAAATTAGCTCATGCATAAGCATAAGCTTCAGACCCAGAATAATAATTCTAATATAGTAGTCCGAAAACTTCAGACCTAAAGAACTCCATTATTCCAGCTCAACGAGTGCGATCTGGAAACTAACCGTTGGAGCAATTTATCAGCGGCGACGGTTTCGTTGGCCTGGCACATGGCTTTGAGAACGAGGTTAAACGACGCCGTGTTGTGCTGGACGGAACTCATCCATCTGCGCAACGAGGTCGGTGGCGGAGGCGCCCAGCATAAGGTTGGCGCGGAGGTAGTGGTTGAAGAGGTTGACGTCGGGGCTGTTAAGTTTGCCATTCTTGTCGAGGGCGCGGACCCAGGTCTCGAAGAGGCACTTGACCTTGGTCCAGCGGTGCGAGGCCATGCAGTCATCGAAGAGGTCGAAGAGCACATGAGGGTCGAGGGGATCGGAGGAGGCACGGTTGTATAACCGATGGGGGCGAGCGAGTTGGAGAGGGAGAGGGGAGCGCCAGTTTTGGTGGTAGACGAGTCTGCCGGAGGCGGGTTGGGAGGGAGAGGGGTGGGATCCACCAGTTGAGGCTTTTGTGAGAGGAAGGGAGGAGGATTTCTGGGGGAGGGAGCACGTCCGAATTTAATCTAGTGAGGTTAAAATATTATATAAAAGAATTGAGTTTTCTCATTAATACTCACTCTTACTAAAATACCGTCATCGTTAAGAGATGCATATGTTTTTTGAAGGATAAACGGAAGTAATAATAAAAATTATTTTTTTTATTGCTATAATATATAAATTTATTTATTTATTGTTTTTTATTATTATAATTTATAAAATTATTTATTATTATATTATATTTTTTTATTATAATTAATATAAATTTATTTATTATTATATTGTATATTTTTATTATAATTAATAATATTATTTATTATTCTTTTTTTGAATGTTTTGAAGTGATGAGTAGTAATGAGAGTGTTAGTGTTTTTCCCACTAGTCGATCGTGATCACGATCGCCTGATAGTCAGATCTCACGAAGTTGTTTAGAAATGCATAAGGAGTTACTGCATAAGTGTTTTGAAAGATTAAGAAAAGTCTTAGAAGTTGAACATCTTCCTTGCTCAAAATTTTGCAATGGAAAAATTTAATACTCTTAACAAGGCTAATATGTATCTCAGTCTTACAACAAGTGAGTTAAAGACTACATTTGAAATCTATCGAAGAAAGAGCAAGAAAAGGAGTAAGTAATATATAAATTATAATAATAAAAATATATGTTATCTTTTGTAAATTTTTAATTTTTTGATACTATTTTTTTCCAAGTAATAAACAAAGCATGAAGTTTCTTTTTTTTATTTGATGTCTTGATTTTTTATCTTTTATTTTCTTTTCTGTCTAGTATCTCTGTCTACTATCTCGAACACAGTATGAAGTTTATTTTTTTTATTTTTTTTTCTGTCTATTATCCCGAATATTTAGTTATGGACTTTCTTTTCTGTCTCCTATCCCGAATATTTAGTTATGGACCATTTTTAATGTTTTTTTGTTTTAATGTTTTATTTGTTTTAATGTGTTTTTGTTTAATATTAATATGATCAATTGGGCATAATAGGATATCAATCACCAATCAGAATATATGTAAATATACCTTACTCGAAGAATGTTATACAGTGACACGTATTTATTTTTTAATTACTCAAATAGCATACTATACGTTTTATTTACCAATATAGCACGATTTTTTTGCTAAGTTGAGAATTCGATTCTCTGAAAGACGAAATCTGAAGGTAGATTTGTATTTTTTTTCTTTAAACCAGTTAAAATTCGATTTTTCGGCAATCGAATTCTGAATTAGTTTTTTTTTTATTTTGTTAAAAAAGAAAAACTAACTAATATATATATATATATATATATATATATATATATATATATATATATTGTTAAGGTTTTTCTGTTTTATTTATTATTCTGTTTAGCAATATGTTAATAGTGCAAGCATTTACTCCTAATCTGTAGGCGAGTTTCCAATAAATTAGGGTCACACTCCAACTGAGATCTATTCTGTTTTCTCGGTGGCTTTATTTAAGTTAGCAGTTATCTTTGAATAATACACAAGCAATTTACAGACTTCTTTCTATTTTCCATTTACGTTAACCTTTGCCTTCCTACACATTTTATATCTTTCAATATATATATATATATATATATATATATATATAATTATAATGTTTTATTTAAAATTTACAGAATCAAATTAAAATTTTAAAAAGATTTATATATTTTTTAAATTAATAATATATTTAGATTTAATGTTGAAAGAAGTAAAACAATACTTTTAAAATATATTATTAAATATTATATTTATATTTTATTTGTATGGTTAATTTTTTTTTAATTTTTTATTTATTTGATATTATAATTTTTTTTAGAAATGAATAATAAATTTGGAGGATAAGAAAAATCTTAAAAATTATATATATATATATATATATATATATATATTATATAAAAGATAAAATAATATTTTGATGTAAAATTATAATTTATCTATAATATATATATATATATATATATATAAATATATATATATAATTATAATTTATATAATATATAATTGATTTAACATTAAAAATATATTTTTTTTATTAATTTCTAAAAAAATATTACAATATCAAATAATAATTTTTTTTAAAAAGTAATCATACAAATAAAATATAAATATGATATTTTATAATATCATTTAAAAATATTATTTTAATACTTTCAATAATAAATCTAAATATATTATTAATCTAATAAATATATAAATCTTTAAAAACTATAAATTAAAATTATAAAATTTAAATAAAATATATATATATATATATATATATATTATTTAATGTATATTTGAAAAATTAATCGATTATTTCAAAAACTAATCAATTAGTTTTTCAACTACTCAATTTCAATCATTTCTTGTCTATTATTTTTTAAAATGATCGATTATAATCAATTAACTTTTCGAATAATTGATTATAATCGATTTGTTTTTCAAATATCCATTAAATAATTACAAATAAAATATATATCAAATTAAAATTAAAAAATAATTATTTATAAATTATATATATTATATATATTTTATAAATTATAATTATAAATTTATAAAAATTATATTTAAAATTATAACCTTAAAAAAATTATAATTACAAAATTAATAAATATATATATATATATATATTTAATGTTAAATCAATTATATATTATATAAATTATAATTATATATATATATATTATAGAAAAATTATAATTATATATATATATATTATAGATAAATTATATATATATATATATATTTCAAAATATAACTTATTTTTATTCATAATATATATATATATATATATATATATATATATATATATATATATCTTCTAAAATATTACAAAACAAAAAGAATATACATTTCAAAAACATAATTTTATATCAAAATATTATTTCATTTTATATAGATATAATTTTTAAGATTTTTATTATCCTTATAATTTATTATTAATTTTTAAAAAAATATTACAATATCAAATAAATGAAAGAATTAAAAAAATTTAATCATGCAAATAAAACATAAATGTAATATTTAATAATATATTTTAAAAATATTATTTTACGATTTTCAACAATATATCTAAATTAATTATTCATCTAATAAATATATAAATCCTTTTAATATTATAATTTAAAACTTTAAATTTTAAATAAAATATTATAATATTATATATATATATATATATATATATATTTTTTTTTTACTATTTCAAAAACTAATCGATTATTTTAAAAATTAATCGATTAGTTTTTCAATTACTCGATCAGAATGATTATTTTTTTAAATAATTGATTATAATTAATTAGTTTTTAAATAATCAATTACTTTTTTAAATATACATTAAATTATTATAAATAAAAATATATGTTAAATTAAAATAAAAAAGATCATTATTTATAAATTATATATATTATATAAATTATAAAGATAAAGTTAAAAAATATCAAATTTAAAATTATAACCTTAAACAATTTTATAATTATAAAATTAATAAAAATATAACTATTTTAATATTAAATAAATTATATATCTTATATAAATTTAATATATATATATATATATATATTCCAAAATATAACTTATTTTCATTTTTATAATATAAAACATACTTTCAAAATATTACAAAACACAAAAAAAAAATTACATTTCAAAAATATAATTTTACATCAAAATATAATTTTATCTTATATATATATATATATATATATATATATATATATATATATATATTTTTAAGATTTTTATTATCCTCCTAATTTATTATTTATTTCTAAAAAAATATTATAATATCAAATAAATAAAAAAATAAATAAAAATTTAACCATACAAATAAAATATAAATATAATATTTAATAATATATTTTAAAAGTATTATTTTACTACTTTCAACAATAAATCTAAATATGTTATTAATTTAAAAAATATATAAATCTTTTTAAAATTTTAATTTGATTCTATAAATTTTAAATAAAACATTATAATTATATATATATATATATATATATATTTATATATATATATATATATATATATATATTAGTTAGTTTTTCTTTTTTAACAAAATAAAAAAAACTAATTCAGAATTCGATTATCGAAAAATTGAATTTTAACTGGTTTAAAGAAAAAAAATACAAATCTACCTTCAAATTTCTTCTTTCCGAAAATCGAATTTTCAACTTAGCAAAAACCTCGCTATATTGGTAAATAAAATGTACAGTATGCTATTTGAGTAATTAAAAAATAAATACGTGCCACTTGTAGAAAAAAATTCAATGTATAATACTTTTCGAGTAAGGTATATTTACATATATTCTGATTGGTGATTGATATTCTATTATGCCTAATTCATCATATTAATATTAAATAAAAAAACACTAAAACAAATAAAACACTAAAACAAATAAACATTAAAAATGGTCCATAGATAAGAGACAGAAAAGAAAGTCCATAACTAAATATTCGAGATAATAGACAAAAAAAAAGATAATAAAAAAAAGAAACTTCATACTGTGTTCGAGATAGTAGACAGAAAAGAAAATAAAAGATAAAAAATCCAGACATCAAATAAAAAAAAGAAACTTCATGCTTTGTTTATTACATGAAAAAAAATAGTATCAAAAAATTAGAAATTTACAAAAGATAACATATATTTTTATTATTATAATTTATATATTACTTACTCCTTCTCTTACTCTTTTTCTTACTCTTTCTTCTGATAGATCTGAAATGTAGTCTTTAATTCACTTGTTGTAAGACCGATATACATATTAGCCTTGTTAAGAGTATTAAATTTTTCCATTGTAAAATTTTGAGCATCTATAGGAAGATGTTCAACTTCTAAGGCTTTTCTTAATCTTTCAAAACACTTGTGCAATAACTTCCTATGCATTTCTAGATATCGCAGTGAGGTCCGACTAGTTGGCGAACGTACTTTAGGTGACATTTGTGAGTCCGAGGTTGGTTTACCGAATCCGTTAATACTAGCACTCTCACTCTCACACCTGCTTATCACTTCAAAACATTCAAAAAAAAAACAATATAATAATAAATAATATTATTAATTATAATAAAAAAATAGAATATAATAATAAATAATTTTATTAATTATAATCAAAATAAAAAAATTTTATTATGTAATTTAATAATAAATAATTTTATAAATTATAATAATAAAAAGCAATAATAAATAACAATAATAAATAACAATAATAAATAATTTTATATTATATAATATTTAATTAAAAAAAATTTATATTATTACCTCCGTTGGTATGCAGCTCCGAAATTTTTTTCTACAGATAGCACGTATTCGTTTTTTAATTACTCAAATAGCATAATGTAGGTTTTATTTACCTAGATAACACAGCTTTTTTGTTAACTTGAGAATTCGATTTTTCGAATACGAAACCTAAACGTAATTATATTTTATAATTTTTTCAAACAATTTAGAATTCGATTTTCCGATAACCGAATTCTGAATAATTTTCTTTTTATTTTGTTAAGAAAAATAAATTAACTAATATATATATATATATATATATATAATATGTTATAATATTTTATTTAACATTTATAGTTTTAAATTAGGTATTTAAAAAGATTTGTATATTTCTAAAATTAATAATATATTTAGATTTATTGTTGAAAGTAGTAAAATAATATTTTTAAAATATATTATTAAATATTATATTTAAATTTATTTGTATGATTAAACTTTTTTTAATTTTTTGATTTAATTGATATTATAATTTTTTTAGAAATTAATAATAAATTAGGAGGATAATAAAAATCTTAAAAATTATATGTATACAAGAAGAAATAATATTTTGATGTAAAATTATATATATATATATATATATATTCTAAAATATAATTTATATTAATTACTATAATATAAAATATATATTTCAAAATATAACTTATTTTCATTTATATATATTATAGAAATTAAAATAAATTATATTTTAGAATATATATATATATATATATATATATATATTAAATATAAATTATTTTCAAGTTGATAATTATTATTCTAATTTATGCAAAATATATATATGATAGCGGTTCCACTTTAACCGCTTCTTCAAAGTGACACATATATGTATGATAACGGTTCCACTTTAACCGTCTTAAAAGTGAACATATAATAGCAGTTAACGTGGAACCGCTATTATATGTTCACTTTTAAGAGCGGTTAAAGTGGAACCGCTATTATATGTTCACTTTAAATATGTTCACTTTTATATGTTCACTTTTTAAGAGCGGTTAACGTGAAACCGCTATTAAATGTTCACTTTTAAGAACGCTTAACGTGGAACCGCTATTATATGTTCACTTTTAAGAGCGGTTAAAGAGGAACCGCTATTATATGTTCACTTTGAACCGCTATCAATTACTCAATTACAATAATTTCTTGCCTATTATTTTTTAAAATAATCGATTATAATCAATTAACTTTTCAAATAATTGATTATAATCGATTTGTTTTTCAAATATCCATTAAATAATTACAAATAAAATATATATCAAATTAAAATTAAAAAAATAATTATTTATAAATTATATATATTATATATATTTTATGAATTTTAATTATAAATTTTAAAAAATTATATTTAAAATTATAACCTTAAAAAATTTATAATTATAAAATTAATAAATATATATATATATATACATATATATATATATATTTTTTAATGTTAAATCAATTATATATTATATAAATTATAATTATATATATTATAGATAAATTATAATATATATATATATATTATAGATAAATTATAATATATATATATATATATATATATATTTCAAAATATAACTTATTTTTATTCATAATATATATATATATATATATATATTCTAAAATATTACAAAACAAAGAAAATATACATTTCAAAAACATAATTTTATATTAAAATATTATTTCATTTTATATAGATATAAATTTTAAGATTTTTATTATCCTCCTAATTTATTATTAATTTTTAAAAAAATATTACAATATTAAATAAATCAAAGAATTAAAAAATTTAATCATAGAAATAAAACATAAATATAATATTTAATAATATATTTTAAAATATTATTATTAGGCCATGCAGTCATCAAAGAAGTCGAAGAACACGTGAGGGTCGAGGGGGTTGAAGGAGGCACGGTTGTTTAAACCGACGGGGGCGAGCGAGTTGGAGAGGGAGAGGGGAGCGCCAGTTTTGCTGGTAGAGGAGGCTGCCGGAGACGGGTTGGGAGGGAGAGGGGTGGGGTCCACCAGTTGAGGCTCCTGTGAGAGGAAGGGAGGAGGGTTTCAGGAGGAGGGAGCGCGTGCGAAAGATGATTTTTATCTCTTTTAAGTTTCACATTGAATAGTTTATTCAAACGAGTGAGGTAAAAATACTATATAAAAGAATTGAGTTTTCTAATTAATACTCATAAATATATAGTGAATTTTGTCTCTTACTAAAATATCGTCATTGTTAAGAGCTGCATACGTTTTTTGAAGGATAAACGGAGGTAATAATAGAAATTATTTTTTTATTGTTATAATATATACATTTATTTATTATTGTTTTTTATTATTATAATTTGTAAAATTATTTATTATTATATTATATTTTTTATTATAATTAATATAAATGTATTTATTATTATATTGTATATTTTTATTATAATTAATAATATTATTTATTATTCTTTTTTGAATGTTTTGAAGTAATGAGTAGCAATGAGAGTGTTAGTGTTTTTCAGCGCTAGTCGATCGCAATCACAGTCGCCTAAAATTACATAGAGAGTTATTGGACCAATGTGTTAAAAACTGAGAGAAGCTCTTCAAGTGGAGCATCTCACTGAAGACGCTATAACTTTTGTCTTGGAAAAATTTGATAGTGTTAGCAGGGCTAACATGTATCTCGCCTTCAGTGCTAGTGAGCTGAAGACTACATTTCAGATGTACATGAAAGAGCAAGAGAAAGCTACCACCTGAGGTGTGTGCATAAGTTGTCTGCTTTACATTCTTTTTCATGAATTATTTACAAGTACAAAGAAGCTTTCTTCTTCAAAAATAATAATATAGTAAATTAATTTGAATTTCATTAAAATAAAACTTAACAAATATTTAGATGAATGTAAAATAATTTCTATTCACATTTTTTTTTTCTCTGGATACAACAGTCTTTTCATTGTAATAGAACTTCGTAAATTTATCAGTCAATGTAAACGAAATTACCATTTCACATTTTTTCTTGTGACATGCACAACAGTGTTATAACATATGATTAAACACACCCTTCATTACTTTAGCTTGGGCTATTAGCTGATTTTCTTTTATGTCATCTTGTTATGTTCTCAAAGAAATGTAATGGAATTCTTGAATTTCATTCAGGTGTTTGTCGTTCGTTTGCAGTGTCGTTCCAATGAAGTTAAACCGGGTGCAAATTTGTCTCAGTTTTCTAGTTATCTATATAATTCAAATCCATCTTTCATGAACATATATTATGGACGTATTTAATATTCTTGACTTCTTGTATTTCAATACTTTTATTTCCTAAGTCTGTGTTATGCCAATTTGTTTGTTTTTCTTTCGGGTTCCAGACAGCGAATAAACCCTTTACCAGTTGGTGAAGATATAATGAGTTAACTTTTTTTTTTCCAGCTGATTACGAGGCATTAAATCCATATGTAAGGGAAAGAAAAAGATAAGCTTCTGCATGAAATATACACAACAATGATGACATCTACAAAACATTCATTGATACGATTACTTTTATTTAATCCAAACTAAGTAGTAATCTTTGTTTTTAACGTAATCCTTTTTTGTTCATATCTAACACCTTTTTCATTTGCTATTTGGTTAAAAGTGTTTCTTATGCTGCATATTTCAAGTTTTTAGTAAAAAAATTCGTACTTTAAATAATAACTCAATGACTAAATCAGAAGTACTGTAACAGCTAGAATCACAATGTTGTTCAATCATCCTTGTTCATCTTGTCAACTAAGGACTGCCTCAAATGTGAACCAACCACCCAAGTGTGAGAGAAATTTATCCCACGAGAGCAATCTATCGCCAAAGGTGAAGGATTGCTTGAAGAATCCTCCTGCAATATATCTCCTATTCTAGACAGGATGCTGAAGGCTAAATTTGCTAGAACTCTGGAATAAGCTTCCAAAATGGAATATCCAATATCCTACAGAAACAGAAAGAAACCACATTACCACTGAATGTATACCAGAAATCTCAACCTTAATGACAAACTTTTGGCTTTGGACGATATTGATACTTTACTTTGCTGTTCTGTTTGCATTTTTACTTTTTCCTTTAGATTTAAAACTGAATATTACATGGATTAATGTCAATGAAAGATAAAACTGAAAACTAAGATTTAGGCTCTGGATAATACTGTCTATTTTCAAAAACTGTTTCTGATTTTCAAAATAAAAATAAATAAGGTTGCTCAAATAATTGGTTGAGGTTGGTACAAGGCCCAGAAAGAGTGAGAAATTGTTGTAGTACATAATTTTCTTTAAATTCTCTGCACGGTTTAAATTCTCCAGTTGAAAATAAACCTAAATAGAAGAGAGCATGATTAGAAGAAGTTGGAGTTGAATGTAACATTATTAAGAACTACATGCATGTCAACAATTGAAAGACGTAATATAAATGTAACATATGACATAGCAACATGGAATTTTTTCTACATATATGTCAAAAATGATAAACTTTGTAATCTATTTCCAAATGAAAACTTGCCAATATTAAAACTAGTAGAGTCAATAAAAATTATATGCATCATAGGAAAAGATATACATTATCTAGAGTCTCAAAACCCTTCTTGGAGCATGCCATAACCAATGGATGTAATGAAGTAAATGGGCAGAACAATTCTTCAGCTTCTTGACCAGAGTCTCCATAAGCCAACTCAAACTCATTCAGAGTTGTAGATTTCCCAATGATGCAAGGGCATATATCTTCCCAATATATGACTCAGGATTAGGAGCTTTCTTTTTACGCAATGAGTGGTCCAAAACAGCCCATGATGCCCGTAGCAACTCAGAATTATAGGTTCTACCAGCAGTCACCTTCATCTACAGACAGAAATAAAGGGGGTCTTTGACGTTCACCCTTTACAATCCACGTACCCATATACTCCAGGCCATCAAAAGCTAATTTGCAATTATCCTCTCGAGTTGCAGTTTCAACAATAAAATTGCACAAGTCCCAGTTGGGGCAAAGAGCTTTGTTTTGATCTGATCCCTATAAACAACAATGAGATTTGAGAACATTAATAGAAGAAATATGAAGTTATTAGTAAATTTTTTACAGAAAAATTTATGGCTAAATTGAAATTTATATATTTTATAAAATAATTATATATAAAAAATTTATATATAATATATATAATTTATAAATAATTATTTTTTTTAATTTTAATTTGATATATATTTTATTTGTAATTATTTAATGGATATTTGAAAAACAAATCGATTATAATCAATTATTCGAAAAGTTAATTGAATATAATCCATCATTTTAAAAAATAATAGACAAGAAATGATTGAAATTGAGTAGTTGAAAAACTAATTGATTAGTTTTTAAAATAATCGATTAATTTTTCAAATATATATTAAATATATATATATATATATATATAATATTTTATTTAAATTTTATAATTTTAATTTAAAGTTTTTAAAGATTTATATATTTATTAGATTAATAATATATTTAGATTTATTATTGAAAGTATTAAAATAATATTTTTAAATGATATTATAAAATATCATATTTATATTTTATTTGTATGATTACTTTTTAAAAAAAATTATTATTTGATATTGTAATATTTTTTTAGAAATTAATAAAAAAAATATATTTTTAATGTTAAATCAATTATATATTATATAAATTATAATTTATATATATATATATATATATTATAGATAAATTATAATTTTACATCAAAATATTATTTTATCTTTTATATAATATATATATATATATATATATATATATAATTTTTAAGATTTTTCTTATCCTCCTAATTTATTATTCATTTCTAAAAAAAAATTATAATATCAAATAAATAAAAAATTAAAAAAAATTAACCATACAAATAAAATATAAATATAATATTTAATAATATATTTTAAAAGTATTGTTTTACTTCTTTCAACATTAAATCTAAATATATTATTAATTTAAAAAATATATAAATCTTTTTAAAATTTTAATTTGATTCTCGTAAATTTTAAATAAAACATTATAATTATATATATATATATATATATATATATATATTGAAAGATATAAAATGTGTAGGAAGGCAAAGGTTAACGTAAATGGAAAATAGAAAGAAGTTGTAAATTGCTGTGTATTATTCAAAGATAACTGCTAACTTAAATAAAGCCACTGAGAAAACAGAATAGATCTCAGTTGGAGTGTGACCCTAATTTATTGGAAACTGCCCTACAGATTAGGAGTAAATGCTGCACTATTAACATATTGCTAAACAGAATAATAAATAAAACAGAAAAACCTTAACAATCCCTCTCTTAAACTAATGCATCTACACTAGTTATTCCAATCATAGTCCGCAACCTTTGAAATTGGTCCAGCTTTAGAGGTTTTGTCATAATGTCTGCTAGTTGATCTTGAGAGCTACAAAATCGTAGCTTGATCGCTCCATCATTCACCAAATCCCTTAAAAAATGAAACCTGACATCTATGTGTTTGCTTTTCCCATGAAACAATGGGTGTTTGGATAGCTGAATTGTAGAACTATTATCACATAGAATCTCAACTGCAGTTTCATTCTTAAGCCCAATTTGTTCTAGCAATCGGTTTAGCCAAATACATTGACAAGCACATAGAGCTGCCGCCATATACTCTGCCTAAGAAATTGCCCCTGTTCCTAGTATAAATACGTAGCCTGAAGTACTTTTTCTATCGTCCAAATCTCCAGCATAATCGCTATCCGAAAAGGCTAGTAGTCTTAAACTACTAGTTCCCTTTTTATACCAAATGCCAAGACAGATCGTACCTCTGATGTACCTCAAAACGCGTTTTGCTGCCAACCAGTGTGTTGTAGTAGGATTGGTCATGAATCTACTAAGTAAACTTACTGTATACATCAAGTCTGGCCTAGTGGCAGTTAAATACATAAGACTGCCAATTAATTGTTTGAACAAAGTTTCTTCAACACCTTCGTCCTTCGTATTCTTGGACAGTCGAGTCCCTGGCACCATGGGATTCTTTACTGCATTGCTGTCCTGCATACCAAAACGAGACAATATCTACTGTGCATACCTCCTTTGACAAACAAAAATGCCAGTCGAGTATTGTTTAACCTCAATACCAAGAAAGTGACTCATTGTTCCCAAATCAGACATATCAAAATGAGCCATCATGGACTGTTTAAACTCCTCACACATAATTCTATCATTTCTAGTGAATATCAAATCGTCAGCATACAAACTGACAATTAAAATTTTACCTCCCTGTGAGCGAGTGAACAATGTGTGTTCACTAGGACACTTCTCAAAATTTTCTTGTACAAAGTAGGTCTCAAGTTTGTGATACCAAGCTCGAGGTGCTTGTTTAAGACCATACAATGCTTTCTTTAGTTTATATACCTTCTCTTCTTCTCCTTTCTTCACAAAACCTTCAGGTTGTAAGACAAATATATCTTCTTTAAGTTCTCCATGAAGAAAGGTACTCTTGACATCAAGTTGGAACACCTTCCAGCTAAATTGAGCAGCGGTAGCTAGAATTAATCTAATGGTATCCAATCTAGCAACTGGAGCAAAAACTTCAGTGTAGTCATTTCCATGTTTTTGGGCATACCCTTTTGCTACAAGTCTTGCTTTGTGTTTTTCTACTGTCCCTTCTACATTGAGTTTGGTTTTAAAAACCCATTTAACTCCAATTGATGTAACTCCATCCAAGTAAAGACGTAAGTTCCCATGCCACATTTTATTTCAATTTTGCGCATGTTTCATTTCTTTTACTTTAATTTAATTGAATACTAAACCTATTACATACATTTCAAGTATCATTAAGAAATAATTTAACTAATTAAAATAAAATAAAAATATATGTATTGCAATTTGAGGATTGAACCAAAATTACAGACTTTCTCAAAAAAATATGGGGACTAAAGTCACAGAAAAAATATAGTGACTAAAATCACAGATCAAGAATTATTACAAATTAGCTAAAATTTATTATGCATCAACAAAACTAATCACTCACCCTGCACCTTTCAATTATTGTCACCAATGTATAAGCCTTCCTCACACAATTCATAAATACCTTCATTGACAAGACATTACTGGATTTTAAAATTTGATCTATATATTTGAATGCAGTATCACTCTGGTCTGTGGAAAAAAGCATTCCAAATATGATTCCAAATAAATTTATAATTTTTTTTAACTGTCATATTTATTAAATAACTCATAATTTTGATAAATTTGTATAATTGTATAATTTTATATTAAAAATTACGATATTCTACCTTTGTACCGTACACTCTCCTCTGTATATATTATTATTATTATTATTATTATTATTATTATTATTATTATTATTATTATTATATCTATGTGTTTATAGACACATGCAATTGTGACTAAGCATGCATGATTGCATGTTCTTAATGTCAACTCGTACAACAATAAAATAAAATGTTTAAACTTGGAACAAACGAATAAAAATTATATTTATAAATGAAATTATTAAAGCAAAAAAATATTTTTTGTTTCAAATAATAATATAATATAATACAACAGTATATTTTTCAAAATTTAAAATTTGTTATATTAGTGAAAAAATTATTATAATTTTAAATCTAACAAATTAAATTTTTATGTGATACTTAGTACTATTTTATTACTTAAAAGTAGCAAATCATTGTAATATTTTAGATAAACATCACTATAAATAGTTATAAATTTTAAATTATTATTTTTTGGTGTGACCATTATTAACCACAACCATATTTAAGTTATAATTGTATGATTGTGACAAATTAAATATATGCTACTGTATTTTTAATTTTATATTTTTTAACTTTTCGCGTTAATGACTTAAATTTTACATAGTGATTATTTAAATTCGTCGTTCGGAGATAAAAATTATGTATAATATACTTTAACCTTTAAAATTAAGAGATTAAATTATCTTTTTAAGAAAAAAAAACCTTTAAATTACCTCTCTCAATTGGACATTATAAAATTTAGGACTAAAAATTTCATTTTCAGTATTTTTAAGTTATATTTTTATTGTGTTTTAATATATGAATAATGAACATGATTCATGTTAAGGAGCTTGACGTATTGGAATAGTCTTTTTTTGAGTTCCATTTGTAACTACTAGGACAAAAATTTCATAGAATTTATTTTTTTTCTTCTGTCTATTATGGATTATTTCACAATTACATGAGGTTTTTCTCTTTAAATAAAAAAACAGATAAAACACTTAAATTGAATATTTTTCTTGCTTTTTGTGTGTTGAAATTTTCATTTGAATAGAACTCAACTAATGTTTAGGTCAATGTAAAAGTATTCCACAATTTTTCCAATGACATGTAGAATATATATTATCATATAATTAAATATACATTTAATCACTTGTCTATTTCCTGATTTTGTTGATGTACTTATACTTTAATTTTTCTATCCTCTTGGTATGTTTGGATATGGTGAAAATTTAAAATGTTAACACTTGAATAATCAGACGGAGATAAAATACTACGACTAGTTCAGAACTGATGTGTTTCACAATATGGTGTATTGTTTAATTATTTTACCTCAAGTTATCTGGACATATGAATGCATCAATTCATCCTTAAAGTAATATCTATCATTCACGTACACTTGATGCTGCAATACTCCATCAAAGTAGTGGACTTACTATACTTCCTTTACTTTTATTTTCTTTATTTTCCAAATTTTAATGCAGAACATCAAAATGCATAGTACCCAATTTTTATTTTTAATACTTAGGGGCTAAATAACAGGGAAAAACTTGGCTTTTTGAGACATGAAATTCATATTCATTATTGAAGTTAAAAAAATAAAAAAATGTTCGAATGACATATTCAAGCTAATAAGTATTTTTGGTTGACATATGGGTGTGTTTAACCACACAATCATTAATGGCAAACTAAGTATCAAGATTAACAACATTAATTGGAATGCAACCTAATGAAACAACTGACAATGAAAATGGTAATATAGAACCATATAGAGGATGTAAAATGCACCTGACCTTAGCTTATGTTATTCATGTCAATTTCACTGCATCAATGACTTTATTATATGGGGACTAAAGTCACTGCATCAATTTCTAAAATATGGGGACTAAAGTCACAGAAAAAATATAGTGACTAAAATCACAGATCAAGAATTAAAGGAGGTACAAAGTTACAAATTAGCTAAAATTTATTATGCATCAACAAAACTAATCATTCACCCTGCACCTTTCAATTATTGTCACCAATGTATCAAGCCTTCCTCACACAGTTCATAAATACCTTCATTGACAAGACATTACTGGATTTTAAAATTTGATTTATATATTTGAATGCAGTATCACTCTGGTCTGTGGAAAAGAGCATTCCAATGACTAAAGTCATATGATTGGTCGTCAGGGAGAGCGTCATTTCCTGTTTGCAGCATCCTGGTAATATCATAATAAGAAAGCAAAGCTTGATATATAAAGAAGAAAATGTGCTCAATTACACATAAAAACACCGCAGACAAAGACATTGTACAAACTACTAAGTAATTTTGACAGTTGTTAGTCTCATTGGTGTGCTTATTGGCATTTCAATTTTATGATTATTTTTCAATAATGAGAGGATATGACGCAAGAGAAAGGTCCATTTATGCGAGTGCAAGAAACAAAACGTTGTTTGATGTACAGAGCCTGCCTTCGTAACAGCCTAGCTATTAGGAGTGGGCTCACCCCAAATGACATAGAACCCACTCTGTCTACCCTCTTGTGTGCACAGGTTGTTCTTTAAAACCTGATGAGTTGACAATGAAGCTAGAATCTCACATCAACTGGAAATTAGACACAACTCCAACTTTTAAATCATTGTCATTTAACTGTCTGGCTTTTAAAAAGGTGGACTCTCAGCTACACCAAGATTAACAATTACAGTATTCAGGAAATCCTAACAATTTTTTGAATCCAATAACAATTAACTAAATGTGTAATTAGTTAAGATAATATATAACTAAACCACTGTCACCTCTTGCCTGGTAAGCAGTTTTACCAGCAATTCCAAAACAAGTAATTTTCCTAAAATCAAACCCATAACAAAGTGGATGTGTAAATTACAATCATACCAAAGAATCAGTTACAGGGGAAAGAAAATGAATATTATGACACATATATTAGTAAGCTTCAGCCAGTTATAGACCCAAAAAACTAATTTAAAACTTGGCAAATATCTAATTAAATATAGCATGCAAAGTACTAACACTTGCCCTAGCTTTAATGCCAGCAACTTTTCTTCATTAACAAAACCAAACGGATGTTAAAAAGGTGTCTCAATACACAGTTTCCATCATTGTCAAGTTTGGCAAGGTTTCTCACCCCAATTGGCAGAGAGAATGTAAGTCGTTCATTAATTTCAACATTTTTATCCCGAAGAAAGAAAGAATTGCTTATTCATTTCCTGACAATAATGTAGGGAGAGAACTACTTGCCAAAAGCTACTACTTTTAGTAGTAGAGGTCATGTAATGGTAATCCTAATAAAAAAAAGTCAAAGAAAATCAAAATTCAGATCTAACTCCTCTTAACTTAAAAAAATAAGCATACTACGAACACAAGGGTACCTTCTCATTGATGTAGAGAATTCTGGTTTTCCACGAGATTCTAGTTTTTAACATCATTGCCCCCATTATACAAAAAGAAATAGAATGGTAAAATTAAATAAACTTCTCCATATCCACATGTTAATTTCTGTACATGGGAGAAGCTTCTCTCATTTAAGAGAGAAACTTATTTTACCTTTCTTTCTTAATTTCCTACTGTTCTAAACCTATGAGTGTTTAAAAAAAGGTTGATCCAAACATGACCTTCATTTGATCTAACTTTGTGCAAATTAAAACCTCACAATGAACCAACCACAAGTCAATGCTCAACACCTTCTCACTAGCTCATTTTTATCACGGTCATTTGACCACTAACATGGCTGCAGGACCGTTAAAAGTCCAATAAGCACTACTAAGAAAATAAATGAATAATAAGCACTATTAAGAAAATAAATGAATTTATCCACAACTCAAAATTAAATTACACATTAAATTAGAAACTCCCTCGTCTATTAACTTCTTTAAAAGATTATTAAATATGTGCAGTTCAAGGAGAATATGCATTTATTTTTTTCTTCTTATTTTTGCTTCCTAGAATTTTCATTTTTGTTAAAAATGCTTATGGAGAACTCACCCTAATCGTATAACAAGAAGACAAGAAGAATAAGTAAATTCCCATCTAAACATAGTATTCGATGGAGAGACTCTTTGGACGGGCTTCTCGGTAAGTTTTTCACGAGAGAAAAATAAGAAAAAAAAAATGAAATTAACAAATTTATAAGTTAAAATTAGCCTACGCACAAGTTAAACATTAAAATCTAAAGAACTTACATAGCATTTGCAAATTAGCTCATGCATAAGCATAAGCTTCAGACCCAGAATAATAATTCTAATATAGTAGTCTGAAAACTTCAGACCTAAAGAACTCCATTATTCCATTATTCCAGTTCAACGAGTGCGATCTGGGAGACTAACCGTTGGAGCAATTTATCAGCGGCGACGGTTTCGTTGGCCTGGCACATGGCTTTGAGAACGAGGTTAAACGACGCCGTGTTGTGCTGGACACGGAACTCATCCATCTGCGCAACGAGGTCGAGGAGGTCGGTGGCGTAGGCGCCGAGTATAAGGTTGGCGCGGAGGTAGTGGTTGAAGAGGTTGACGTCGGGGCTGTTGGGTTTGCCATTCTTGTCGAGGGCGCGGACCCAGGTCTCGAAGAGGCACTTGACCTCGGTCCACCGGTGCGAGGCCATGCAGTCATCGAAGAGGTCGAAGAGCACATGAGGGTCGAGGGGGTCGGAGGAGGCACGGTTGTATAAACCGACGGGGGCGAGCGAGTTGGAGGAGGGAGAGGGGAGCGCCAGTTTTGGTGGTAGAGGAGGCTGCCGGAGGCGGGTTGGGAGGGAGAGGGGTGGGGTCCACCAGTTGAGGCTCCTGTGAGACGAAAGGAGGAGGGTTTCAGGAGGAGGGAGCGCGTGCAAAAGAGGATCTTTGCCTCTATCTCTTGTTAGTCCTAGTTTATTAGTCCCACATTCAACAGTTTATTCAAAGAAGTGAGATAAAAATATTATATAAAAAGAATTGAGTTTTCTAATTAATACTCACTAGCGAATTTCGCCTCTTACTAAAATACCGTCATTTTTAGAAGGTGCATACGTTTCTTCGAAGAGTAAGAGGTAATAATAGATATTATTTTTTATTGTTATAATAGATATTGTTTTTTATTGTTATAATATATAAATTTATTTATTATTATTATAATTTATAAAATTATTTATTATTATATTATATTTTTTTATTATAATTAATAAATTTATTTATTATTATATTGTGTTTTTTATTATAATTAATAATATTATTTATTATTTATTTTGAATGTTTTGAAGTGATGAGTAATGGTGGTGAGAGTTTTAGTGGTCAATCTAGTCGATCACGATCATCGTCGCCTGATAGTCAGATCTCACGAAGTTATTTAGAAATGCATAGAGAGTTATTGAATCAATGTTTTGCAAAATTAAGAGAAGCTCTAGAAGTTGAGCATCTTCCTGAAGATGCTCTTAATTTTGCAATGGAGAAATTTAATAATGTTAGCCTTGCTAACATGTATCTCTGCTTGACAACAAATGAGTTAAAGACTAAATTTCAGACTTATCAGAAGAGCAAGAAGGAGTAAATAATATATCAAAAGTGAGTTAAAGAATAAATTTCAGATTGCTGAGAGGACAAGAGAAAGAGTAAGTAATATATAAATTGTAATAATAAAAATATATATTATTTTTGTAAATTTCTAATTTTTTTATATTTTTTTTTTCAGGTAATAAACATAGAAGTTTCTTTTTTCTTTTTATTTGATATTTTCTTTTCTGTTGACTATCCCATATATTTAGTTATGAACTTTCTTTTCTGTTTACTATTTTGAATATTTAGTTATGAATTTTCTTTTTAGTTACGGATTTTCTTTTCTGTCTCCGAATATTTAATTATGGATTTTCTTTTTATTTATGGACTTCTTATTCTGTCTACTATTCCGAATATTTAGTTATGCACAATAAATATTTTTTTTTAGTTTTTTTTTTTAATATTAATAAGATCAACTGTTATTTCTTAATTTTTTATATAATATAAAATTGTTTGTATAATAAAATATCAATCACCCAATACGAGAATACGTAAATATACATTACTCGAAAAAGTGTTATACATGGATTCTTATTTGATGAGCTAGAAAGTGATATGATCAAGATCGCTTAATTATGGCAGTTCACTATTGTCCGGCATACCATCTCATTCAGGTAATAATTTTTTTGTTTTTTATTTTTTATTAAAGGTATAGTAGGTTTAAAAACCATCTCATATGAAACCGAATATTAAATATATATAAATATATATATATATATTAAATTTTTATTTATATAATTATATCAATCAATATAAATATTTTTTTACATATCATAAAAATATATTTATATAATTATATTATTAATATATTTTTATAACTATAGTAAATACAAATATATTTAATATATATATATATATATATATAATAAATACATGTATATTTATATATATATTTGTATATATTTATAAATCCTAAATCTTAAATTCTAAACTATAAATATATTTATACATTTAACAAATACATATTTATTTTTTCTTTTATATATATATATATATATTTACATATTATTTAAATATTTATTTAATAAAAACTATGTTTAGTAAATAAATATAATATTTATACAAAAAATAATTTTATTTAATTTCAATACAATATAAAATAGATTTGGTATAAATAATTTGTTAAAATTATGTATAAATAGAAATTTTAATTAGATAATTTGAGTAAGATATACTATTTGAATGAAAGTGAATTGATATTTTAGATATTAAATCAATGAAATATGAATAAGCAACGAAACATGATTAAGCAAGTTAGAAAAGCACAAACAAGTAGAATAATTATTTATTTAATGATTATAATGTCATATATTATTTATTTAATGATTATAATGTCATATTACAAAATTACAGTAGATTTATCTATGAGAAGTTGATCCCCTAAGACCAGGATTATGTGGACAATGATTTCTTGTGTGACCTGGAGTGTAACAATAGGAGCATTTCTTTGGGGTGACCTTCTTCACAGATATTCGTTTCAATCATAATTCGTGTTTACTTTGGATTACCCTTGAAACTTCTTCTTGATGCTAGGTTGGGGCAAAATTGTGGGTCTTGATGTGACCAATAATTTTCGTGCCTAAGCTCCCAAACAAATTATCATACACTTTTTTAACTACATCCAACCTGTAAACAAGATTGATGTACATCTCATAATCATGGTGAACATGTTTGCACGCTGCAACCACATGGTAGGAAAGTTTCAGTAGTCATGTGAGTGGTAGGAGAGTTTAGGTAGGCATGTGAATAATAGAAGAGTTATGTGATCATGCGAATGGTAAATGTGAATGGCATGAGAGGTAGATAGTCATGTGAGTGGTAGGAAAGTTTAGGTAGATAGTCATGTGAGTGGTAGGAGAGTTTAGGTAGACATGTGGGTGACATAAGAGTTAGGTGGTCATGTGAATGGTAAATAAATTTAAATATACAAATATATGTATTTATTAAATATCTTATTATATACATATAAATATATATATATATATATATATTATATAAATCCATATTTATTAAATTTATTTAAATATTAAATCTATAATATTAAATTTATTTGTATTTTTCTAATATTGTAATATATATATATATATGTATTTATCATATTTATAAAAATATATTAAAATATAATAAAAATATTTATATATAATTTTATATTAAAATTATTTTATATTATATTAATAAAAATGTATTTATCATATTTCTATAAAAATATTATTTTTACTTACTAAAGTTATTTTATATTAAAAATATATTTAAATAATATATATATATATATATATAATTTATTTATATAAAAATGTTATCTAGAAAGATATAATATATTTATTAAATTTTATTATATTTATAAAAAGATAAATAAATATTTAAATATTATATATATATATTAAATATATTTGTATTTACTATATTTATAAAATATATTAATAATATAATTATATAAATATATTTTTATGATATGTGAAAAAATATTTATATTGATTTGATATAATTATATAAATAATTAAAATATATATATATATATATATATATATAATATTTAAAAAATTATTAAAAATATATATCAAAATTTGGCTTGCAACATATCAAATGCTGACTTTTTATCAAAAGCGTGCTAATAGTGTAAATTTTATCTACAGTATGTTACATTTGAATATTAAATCTATAATATTAAATTTATTTGTATTTTTCTAATATTGTAATATATATATATATATGTATTTATCATATTTATAAAAATATATTAAAATATAATAAAAATATTTATATATAATTTTATATTAAAATTATTTTATATTATATTAATAAAAATGTATTTATCATATTTCTATAAAAAATATTATTTTTACTTACTAAAGTTATTTTATATTAAAAATATATTTAAATAATATATATATAATTTATTTATATAAAAATGTTATCTAGAAAGATATAATATATTTATTAAATTTTATTATATTTATAAAAAGATAAATAAATATTTAAATATTATATATATATATATTAAATATATTTGTATTTACTATATTTATAAAAATATATTAATAATATAATTATATAAATATATTTTTATGATATGTGAAAAAATATTTATATTGATTTGATATAATTATATAAATAATTAAAAAAAATATATATATATATATATAATATTTAAAAAATTATTAAAAATATATATCAAAATTTGGCTTGCAACAGATCAAATGCTGACTTTTTATCAAAAGCGTGCTAATAGTGTAAATTTTATATACAGTATGTTACATTTGAATATTTATATTCAAATAATGTTACCTCTTAACAAAAAAAGCAAAATTTGAAAGTTGTTTCAGGTCGACTTTGAGGAGGAGGAGCTTGGGTCGGATCCGGAACCAAAGTCGGAGTCGGGGAGTAGTTTGAACCTCGTAGGCTAGTTAGAAAAGCCTTGGTTGCTCTAGTTTTTGAATCGACACAATAATATTCTTTTGAAACTTAATATTTATTATGCCAGAAATGTTTGAGTGTATGAAGAAAGTAACAAAACTTGATTTTGATCCAATTGTGGAAGAAAGGAACCTCCTATACAAAAATGTCGTTGGTGCACGGCGAGCCTCTTGGCGCATCGTGTCCTCGATTAAGCAGAAGGAAGAGTCTAAGAGAAATGAGGACAATATTAAACCCTTAAACTGATCAAGGGTTACTGTCAGCCAAAAAGTTGAGGAATAACTCTCAATTTGGGGTGCAACACCTGATTCCTTCCTCTGGATGAGTAGAAGCTAGTCTTTTCTATGTGAGTTATGGTGCCACACACTTCCTTGTCATGTACTTGATTAATTCAATTACTTCCCAGTTCTGAGTCATTATCTTTATCACCATATTCTTTTTAGAGGATTTTCTTCTTTGTGTGTTATAATGATTCTGAAAAAATATATCAAGACTAGTCTGTGAAGCATAGATAGAATCTGTATGTATATAATGATTTGATGACCAATTTTTTTATCTACCCGATTGGTAGAGTAACCCTTAGCTCGAGTAATTCTTGGCTCTATAGGGACTCCAATGCTATGAATGAGTCATTGGATTTTTTTTTTTTTTTTTTACATTCTGTTTGTTATTATTCTGTACAATATCTATTATTGTTATCACGTTTTGTATGGTATTCCTGATTTCCTTATTCTTATTTTGAGTCAGGAAAGGTGATTATTTTTGATATCTTGTTGAGTTCAAGACTGACCAAGAAAGGAAAGAGGGAAAGAGGCAGCTGAGCAGTCATTGAAAGGATATGAGGTAATTTTTCTATCTCTTGTATTTCAGCACTAAATTAGTTCATAAATTATTTATGTTATGCATTACATTGTCATTTGATTTCACCTATGTTGTAATTATTAGGCTGCTTCAGCCACACAGATCTCCCGTCAACACATCCAATTCGACTTGGGCTTGCACTCAATTTCTCTCTTTTAGTGTGAGATAATGAACTCTCCTGAAAGGTAACACAATCAATTCGACTTGGGCTTGCACTCAATTTCTCTTTTTTAGTGTGAGATAATGAACTCTCCTAAAAGGTAAGTCATTGGTTCTCTCAATCTGCATGGATCCATTGAAGTGCATTTGTTGCTAACTCTTGTCTGAATTTGTATTGCAGAGTTGGACACCCTGAGTGAAGAGTCATACAAGGATAGCACTTTGATCATGCAGCTTTTGAGAGATAGCCTGAGACTTTGGACCTTTGATTTGCCAGAGGATGGATGTATGGAAATGATTGAAACTTGATATAAGATGCATTTGACTTTTGCCAAGGGAAAGCAATAAATATTGTACCATATGTTGCTCAATAATGATGTCCTAGAAATAAAAATGGTTTATGTACACTTGTGCAATATCATTGCAATCCACACACTTTGCACCCTCTTAAACTGTGAAAAAAAAATTAAATTAAGATGAAAAGAGAAAAATAAAACTGCATGCTCTAGGATTGATAATCATGAAGAAAGATCAGAAGTCATTGTTTCAGGGGTGGTGTCTTCATCTGAGTCACAGTTAACAGCATGATCATGTTTCGTTTTATTGGTTCATACTAACATACTTCGAACCTACTAAAAAGCTAATGCTATCATATGCAGGTGAGGACAACATTAAAGCGGAAGAAGCCAAACCTACCGAGCCTGAGGTGTGTGCATAATAAGTTGTCTGCTTTACATGATTTTCTTGTTAAATGATTTTCTGAAATCTAATATGTCTATAGTTGTTTTAGTTGCTTTAGTAAAGGTTCCTTATTATGCATTCTTCTGCTTCTGCAGCATTGACCATGATTCGATAGTGAAATATGTAAGGTATCAAAGAGGGTATTTGTCAGCTTTTCTTGCAAAGGATTTGGACCAGACAATAGGGTTATTTCATGATTCTTGTGCTCTCAGAAGATCTGTGCCTGTCTTTTAATTTTTTTACTTCAAACCTTTTCTTTTTATTGCCTTATTTGTTTTAAGTAAAGTGCTCAGTTGAAGCAATGGACAATTTTCATTTACCCTTATAAGCATCTCATTCCTTCCTTCGCTTGTATTTATTTTGTTTAAGTTGATTATGATTCCTATATTGGATTTTTTATTTTTTTTTCTGTCTACTATCCCCATATTATATGTATCCCCATATTATATGGACAAGATTTTGCAATGAAAAAATGTAATACTCTTAACAAATACTCTTAACAAGTTAACAAGGTTAATATGTATCTCCGATTCACCCAAACGAGTTAAAGATCTTTAGATCTCATAAGAAGAAGAAAAAGAAGAAAGAAGGAGAGTAAGTAATATATAAATTATAATAATAAAATTATATGTTCTCTAAATATTAAATTTGTAAATTTTTAATTTCTTGATTCTATTTTTTTTTCAGGTAATAATATCCCCATATTATATGGACAATATTTAGTTATGAACAATGGATGATTTATGAGTTCTTTTAGTGTTTTTTTAATATTAATATGATCAATTGTTATTTCTCATTTTTTATATAATATGAAATTGGGTATCTCATATAGTAGAATATGAATCACCCTTTAATCTTTTAAAAATTTTAAAATTCCAATAATTTTAAAGTAATGAGACAATTTTGAAGTAATGAGCAGCTGTGAGAGTGTTAGTCTCAACAAAACCGGTAACGAAAGAGAATTATCTCATAATCGCAAATGTCATCTAGTTGATCTAGTAGTTTGTTAGTCGAACTTCAAGGAGTTATTTAAAAATGCACGACGAGTTATTGGACAAGTATTTTACGAGATTAAGAGAAACTTTAGAAGTTGAACATCTTCCTGAAGATGCTCAAAATTCTGAGCATCTTCAGGAAGATGTTCAACTTCTAAAATGGAAAAATTTAATACTCTTAACAAGACTAATATGTATTTCCCCTTCACCCTAATGAAAAAATTTAATAAGGCTAATATGTATCTCCGTTTCACTCCAAATGAAATTAGATTTTAGAAATATCAGAAGGAAGAGGAATATCAAAAGGAAGAAGAAGAGAAAGAAGAAAAGTAAGTAATATATAAATTATAATAATAAAATTATATGTTAATTGGTTGTTAGATTTGTAAATTTCTAATTTCTTGATTTTGTTTTTTTTAGGTAATGAACATGTTTCTTTTTCTTTCCTTTTAATTTGATGTCTTTAAAAAACTATTGGATTTTCTTTTCTTTTCTGCCTACTATCCCCATGTTATATGGACAATATTTAGTTATGGACAATGAATAATTTATGATTTCTTTTAGTGTTTTTTTAATATTAATATTATCGACTGTTATTTCTCATTTTCTATACAATAGAATATGAATCACCCTTTATTTTATTTTTTTAATTTTAAAATCCAAACAATTTTAAAGTAATGAGTGTTAATGTCAATTGAACCGGTAAACGAAAAAGAATTATCTCAGAGTCGCAAATGTCATCTAGTCGATCACGATCGTCTGTTAGTCGGAATTCAAGGAGTTATCTAGAAAAGCACGGAGAGTTATTGGACAAGTGTTTTACGAGATTAAGAGAAGCTTTAGAAGTTGAACATCTCCCTGAAAATGCTCTAAATTTTGCAATGAAAAAATTTAATACTCTTAACAAGGCTAATATGTATCTCCGCTTCACCCAAAAGAGTTAAAGATTAGATTGTTTTTTTTTTCAGGTAATGAACACAACATGAAGTTTCTTTTTCTTTCCTTTTTATTTGATGTCTTTAAAAAACTATTGGATTTTTTATTTTTTATTTTCTTTTCTGCCTACTATCCCCATATTATATGGACAATATTTAGTTATGAACACTGGATGATTTATGATTTCTTTTAGTATTTTTTTGTTTTAATGTTTTTTAATATTAATATGATCCACTGTAATTTCTCATTTTTTAGATAATATGAAATTGGGAATCTCATATAATATAATATAATATGAATCACCCTTTAATTTTTTCAAAATTTTAAAATCCTAACAATTTTAAAGTAATCTTAAAGTAACGAGCGAGTTGTGAGAGTGTTAGTGATAAACGAAAGAGAATTATCTCTAGTCGATCATGGTGGTCTGATAGTCGGACTTCAAGGAGATATTTAGAAATGCACGGGGATTTATTGGAAGTGTTTTACGAGGTTAAGAGAAATTTTAGAAGTTGAACATCTTCCGAAAAATGCTCAAAATTTTGCAATGGTGGCTTAGTAGAGGAGGAAGCAAAAGTGAGACTTGTTAACTTTGATAACTTGCTGTCACCATACAGTCCATCCTACATAGAGGAATAATAGGGCAACAGATGAAGAAATTGGAACAACTGCAAGCTCATAAATAAATAATTTTCTCATCTTTTGTTATTAGTCTCTAGAATTAAATAAAATTAAGTAAGTTTTTTAAAAAGATGTTAGTTACACTTATTTTCAATTTAATGATGATTAATAATTCTTTCTTAATTTTGATGGGTAATTAATAAAAGAAAATTTTAAAATTTGTAAGCAATGAAAACCAATCTGTATTGAATTTCGAGAAAAAGGAAACCTAAACTAATATATTTTTATTACTTTATATTAAATTAAATATTTAACTACTTTCAACATAAACCAAATTAATATTATCAAGATGTGTTAGTTTAGTTCTGATTAATTGTAACAAAATATTTTTATTTAAAATTTTCATAATTTTGTTTATATAAGATTATAGCATAAAATATCAACCATAATAATTAATAATAGACTTTTTTTTATATAATTGGTTTAGTTCAAGTTCATTAAAATTTTTAATGGTGAATTTAATCTTATTACACTAAAATTTAATACTTCCTCCTATTTTATTGACTTTTCTTTTTAGTAGGTGGGATTTAAATTTATTTAAGCTTAAATTGTATGTAACAATATTTTATACTAGAGTAAAGTAAGTCATCAAATCCCTCAAATTATAAGCACCAAGTATTTAAGTCCTTAAATTTACAAAAGAAAATCCTGAAATGACCAATATATATAATTTTAGTTTAGTATTAAAATTTCACCTAGTTGATCCCTATTTTCACAATTGAGTCATTTATCTCGTAGCTTTGATATGTATCAATTAATTTGATTTCAATTATCAATTAACAAATTTCAAATCTTATTTTCTAATTTCTGGTAGGAAGATATTGTATTCCAAGTGCAATTCAAAAAATGAAATGTTTATATATCAAATTGTAAAACAAACAACAATTCAGACTATTGGCTTCAATTGTTATGCTGGCATATTAGTGGTTTCATTTTTCAGTGTCTAGATTCTAAATTTTTGCAAAAGAAAACTATTTGATAAATAATTTTAGTTAGAAAAAAATATTAATCATTTATTTTTATATTATTGGTATATATATCATACTGCTATAAATCTCATAAAACAAATCAGAATCACAGTTCTTGTTGAGTTCAATTGATCAGAACATAACCATAGGCTAATTATGCCCTGATTGTTAATTCTCCTGCTCATACAAGTTTAGCTTCGTATATAAACAAGTCTAAAATCACTCATCTCAAATAGTGAATTGTGATGCTTACAATGTCTTCAAATTGAGCTGTATATAAAATACCCTTAATGTATTAAATGTCACTCTTTAAGTCCTAATTACAAGGAGAAAAGAGAAGTACCATCAACTATAGGAAGATTAAAAACGTGCAACTATAGTATTTTGAATACATTTTGTAATCCAAGATTTGAACCTCCACATGAAAATTAACAGCAAATGGAACTTGTCTTTGTAATGATTACTGTATAAGTAAAATGATGATGTAGGATAAAAATATTGTCAAAAATATTTATTACAGTTGGACCATTATTTCCAGTTAAGGCACTGAGATGTGATTATACCTTTTTCTCGTTGCATCAAATGCTCCATAATTTTTGAGTACTTCCTCCATCCGTGACAATGGATATAACATTTATATAATAACACAAAATACAAGAAATATATCCAGGTAACAATGAAATTAATTTCTTTTGTTGGATAAGTATTGAAATTATTCTTTACAATAAAAAATAATAATATTTAGAGAATTGCTTACGTAGCTAACAAGGATATATTATAATAATCTTATCAAACCTATATTGTACATATACGAACCAATAATTGAATTTAATTCATTGAATTTATCTAAATAAAGATAAAATATTTTGAATAATTTATTTTATACTTTGTAATTTTGAATATATATATATATATATATATATATATATTAATGAATTTAATCTATAAATTATAATTTCTATTTCATTAATAATTATTATATAATTTAATTTATAAATTTATTATTTATTGTATAATTCATAATATATTACATAAGTTATAAATTTATAATAAAATATAATTTATAAATATATAATTTATTTTTTATATTGTTCATAGGTTTTAATTAAGAATATTATTTATGATTTGTAAGTTAAAATTTTAGAAATATTAATGCATTCAAGATGAAGTATTGAAATTTAGATATGTTATCTATTCAAACAATTAGTTATACCTGTGATGATTGTGAAAACAAATTACTTTTGTAATTTTACCCAATAGATACTTGTGTGTTAATGTCTTGATCCATCTGCAACTATAGTTCCGACAATGCTTTAGATTATTTGTCTAGATAGAAAATTCTTTTCGTATGGCCAATGCTATCATAATATTTATGTTAATGTGTTTTACTGATATTCTTTATTTTCAACTTCTTCTTTTCCTTTAAATTACTTTAATTCTGAATGTTTAGCATTGTATTCATATGTTTAATACTATTGTCTTGTGAAGTTATCACAAAACATTTTCAGCCATTTATTATCAAGCCTGAAATAAAGTTTCTTACTCAATTAGTTTTAATTATAGTCTCTATATAAATTTTACAATTAATTAGTTTAAATTATGGTCTCAAAACATAATATAAATTTAGTTTCCGTCAATAGTAATATATTGTTTTGCATTTTTCTATTATATTACTCTTTCAGCTAAAAGAACTAGTAAAACAAGAGTTTGAATACTCAATCATAATCCTTAATGACAGTAATATTTTTAAAATTTTAATTGCATTTGTTTTTCAATTATATTATTTTAAAAATATTATGTTTTGATGACAGTAATATTTAATAAATTTTTAATATTTATTATTTATTATTTTGTTAAATATATTTTTATTAATAATTGAATAATATATTAATTATAAATTAAAATTATTTGATTTTTAAAAATTGGACATAATAAACTAGGCGTCCAGAGAGAGAGAGTCCTATTCATTCCACGAAAAAATATAAAATTTATCCAATCTGCACATATAACTTTTTTTACTAACAACAATAAAATAAAATGTTTAAACTTGGAACAAACGAATAAAATTTATATTTATAAATGAAATTATTAAAGGAAAAAATATTTTTTGTTTTCAAATAATAAATATAATTTAATACAGTAGTAAATTTTTCAAAATTTAAAATTTATTATATAGTGAAAAAATTATTATAATTTTAAATCTAATAAATTAAATTATTATATGATACTTAGTACTATTTTATTACTTAAAAGTATCAAATCATTATAATATTTTAGATAAACATCACTATAAATAGTTATAAATTTTAAATTATTATTTTTTGGTGTGACCATTATTAACCACAACCATATTTAAGTTATAATTGTATGATTGTGACAATTAGATATATGCTACTGTATTTTTAATTTTATATTTTTAAACTTTTCGCGTTAATGACTTAAATTTTACATAGTGATTATTTAAATTCGTCGTTCGCAGATAAAAATTATGTATAATATACTTCAACTTTTAAAATTGAGAGATTATATTATCTTTTTAAGAAAAAAAAACCCTTAAATTACCTCTTTCAATTGGACATTCTAAAATTTAGGACTAAAAATTTAAGAAGACCTTATAATTTTTTTGTTCATTTTCAGTATTTCTAAGTTATATTTTTATTATGTTTTAATATATGAATAATGAACATGATTCATGTCAAGGAGTTTGATGTATTGGAATAGTCTTTTTTTTTTAGTTCCATTTGTAACTACTAGGACAAAAATGTCAGAGAATTTATTCTCTGTCCTCTGTCTATTATGGATTAAAATATAAGTAAAAAAAACTCATTTTGATTAAAGATTGGATCATATTTTTTAATATATTGTCTTGTGTCCCATTTGTAAACCTTACAAATATCCAACAAAAGATCAATCGACACAATTTTATTCTATAGCCATAATTAAATAGATTAGACTTTTATTAAAGGTAATAACTGAATCATAGACAAAACTTCACTTGGTAGGGCTTACATAAAGCTGGCAAAGTCATGTTATTAATAAATTAAAATACCAACTCCATATAAATGAGCTCAATTGGCAGTTGGTTGTTGACTTGACATTGTTTTTAGGATAAATTGGCTCGGTATTTAATGATGGTAACAGCAGAAGGGACAAGGTGTATTTCTAGTGTGATCACATTCAATCTAGCAGTCTGCAATATCTCATCAAAATGAAGCATTTTTCTCTCTTGTTACTTGCATTTTGGTCTATATATGTTCAACTGTTTTCTCTATTTACATTAAGCTCACTATGCTTCATGCCAAGATTAACTGCCTCTGCCTTTGCATCAGGAAATGAGACTGATCATTTGGCCCTGCTCAAATTCAAGGAATCTATATCCAGCGACCCATATGGAATCTTACTTTCTTGGAATACTTCTACTCACTTTTGTAACTGGCCTGGAATAACATGCAATCTCAAGCTTCAAAGAGTTACACAGTTAATCTTGCTAAGGTACAAGTTGGAGGGATCCATATCTCCTCACATAGGAAATCTCTCTTACATGATCAACTTCAATCTAGCAATCAACAACATCCATGGAAAAATACCAGAGGAACTGGGACGGTTGTCACGTCTACAACAACTATCTGTCGGAAACAACTTACTGGTAGGTGAAATTCCTACAAACTTGACAGGATGTGTTGATCTCAGATTCTTATACTTAAACAAGAACTTTCTGACTGGCAAAATACCAATTGCAATTGGCTTACTTAGAAAGCTTGAAAGTTGGAGTGTTTCCAGAAACAAGGTAACCGGAGAAATACCTTCATTCATAGGTAATCTTTCATCCCTCACTCTTCTCGATGTCGATAGTAACAACTTTGAAGGACATATTCCACAGGAAATATGCCGTCTCAAAAACTTAACATTTGCATCATTTGGTGGCAACAAACTCACTGGAACATTTCCTTCTTGTTTTTATAATATGTCATCTCTTACATGATCTCAGTTACAGAAAATCAATTAAGTGGCCCTCTTCCACCCAACATGTTCCACACACTCCCCAATCTCCGAGAACTTTACATTGCTGCCAATCAAATCTCTGGCCCAATCCCACCTTCCATCACCAATGCATCTACATTCTTTTTAGCACTTGAGGCCAGTCGAAACAGTCTCACGGGACAAATTCCAAGCATGGGGAAAGTTTCAATATCTTGATATCGTATCTCTGTCTTGGAACAATCTAGGTGACAATTCAACTAATGATTTGGATTTTCTCAAATCATTGAGTAACTGTACTAAGTTGAATCTGTTGTCCATATCCTACAATAATTTTGGAGGTCATTTGCCAAATTCCTTGGGAAATTTATCCACTCAACTTAGTCAATTATATCTCGGAGGTAATCAGGTATCAGGAAAAATTCCTGCAACAATAGGAAATTTAATTGGCTTAACCCTCTTAACGATGGAAAAAAACGGCATTGGTGGAAATATCCCAACAACTTTTGGGAAGTTTCAAAAGATGCAAAAGTTAAATTTGGGTGCGAACAAGCTGTCAGGAGAGACTAGTGCCTACATAGGCAACCTTACTCAATTGTATCATTTGGAATTAGAAGAAAATTTGTTAGACGGGAATATTCCTCCAAGCATAGGAAACTGCCAGAACTTACAGTACTTAGACATGTCACATAACAAACTGACAGGAACCATACCCTTGGACCTTTTCAAGCTTTCCTCTCTAACAAAATTGTTGAATTTGTCACTGAACTCATTGAGTGGTAGCATACCCGAAGAAGTAGGCCACCTAAGAAATCTTGGTTGGCTAGATATGTCTGAGAATCACTTGTCTGGTGGAATTCCTCAAACTATCGGAGATTGCATAGTGTTGGAAAACCTCTATTTGCAAGGGAATTCATTACGAGGAAGCATACCATCCTCTTTGGCAAAACTCAAAGGGCTTCAACGATTAGACCTGTCACGAAATCGCCTGTCTGGTTCAATTCCTAATGTTCTACCAGACATTTCTTTCTTAAAATATTTCAATGTTTCTTTTAACACTTTAGAGGGTGAAGTACCAATCAAAGGTGTCTTTGGAAAAGCAAGTGAGATACTGGTTATGGGAAACAATAAACTTTGTGGGGGAATTTCAGAACTGCATCTACCATCGTGCCCCGTCAAAGGTTATAAACTTGCAAAGCACCACAAGATCAGGTTGATAGCAGGGATCGTTAGTGCGATTGCTTTTCTTCTCATATTGTCAATTATTCTAACTATTTACTGGAGAAGGAAAAGGAGTAAGAAAGTACCTTCGGATTCACCAACCATTGATCAGTTGGCCACAATTTCATATCAAAGCCTACACAATGGAACTGATGGGTTCTTAGCCACAAACTTGATAGGGTCTGGACATTTTAGCTCTGTATACAAAGGAACTCTTAAGGAGTTCGAAGACAAAGTTGTTGCCATAAAGGTCCTAGATCTTCAGAAAAAGGGAGCTCACAAGAGTTTCATTTCCGAATGCAACGCACTAAGAAACATTAAACATAGAAATCTGATTCAGATTTTGACATGTTGTTCCAGTATAGATTACAAAGGTCAAGAATTCAAAGCTCTAATTTTTGAGTACATGACAAATGGAAGCTTAGAGCAATGGCTGCATCCTCAGACACAAAGTGCAGAGCATCCGAGAAAATTGAGTCTTGATCAAAGATTAAACATCATGGTCGATGTCGCCTCTGCATTACATTATCTTCATCATGAATGCCAGCAACCAATAATTCATCGTGATTTAAAGCCAAGTAATGTCCTTCTGGACAATGAGATGGTTGCCCGTGTGAGTGATTTTGGCATAGCAAAACTTCTTTCAACCATCAATGGTACCACTTCTAAGCAAACAAGTACAGTTGGAATAAAGGGGACTCTTGGCTATGTTCCTCCAGGTATCTTCTAATCCTTTGAATCACTAGTTTCTGAAAATTCCCATATCTTTTGGTTCAGCTTTTGTTATTTATCAGCATTTTGTATTGACAGTTCTTGGTATATATTTTAGAGTATGGAGTGGGTCTTGAAGTATCAACTTCCGGCGACATGTACAGCTTTGGGATTCTTATGTTGGAAATGCTTACAGGAAGAAGTCCCACAGATGAAATGTTTGAAGATGGTCAAAATCTTCGTAACTTCATTATAACTTCATTTCCTGATAATCTTCTGCAGATTTTGGATCCACGACTTATTCCAACATATGAAGCACCACCGTTGAAAGGAAACAATTGGAATCTTGATCCAAATGTTGAGATGTGCTTACTTTCCCTTTTTAGAATTGGACTTTCTTGTTCTTCGGAATCACCAAAAGATAGATTGGATATTGCTGATGTCACTCGGGAGCTTAACAGAATCAGTGAGACCTTTCTCATTGGTGAGTTCGTCTTCTTTTTCATGAATTATTTCATGAGTACAAAGAAGCTTTCCTCTTCAAAAACAATAATATAGTAAATTAATTTGAATTTCATTAAAATAAAATTTAACAAATATTTAGATCAACGTAAAATGATTTCTATTCACATTTTTTTTCTCTGGATACAATAGTCTTTTCATTGTAATAGAACTTCGTAAATTTATCAGTCAATGTAAAAGAAATTACCATTTCACATTTTTTCTTCTGACATGCACAACAGTGTTATAACAGATGATTAAACACACCCTTCATTACTTTAGCTTGGGCTATTAGCTGATTTTCTTTTAAGTCATCTTGTTATGTTCTCAAAAGAAATGTAATGGAATTCTTGAATTTCATTCAGGTATGAATACTTCGGAAGAGTTAAATCTGAAATCAAATGCTGTAGTCATTTAGGAAACAGGTGTTTGCAGTGTCGTGTTTCCAATGAAGTTAAACCGGGTGCAAATTTGTCCATGAATTTTTCTCAGTTTTCTAGCTATCTATATAATTCAAATCTATCTTTCATGGAACATATATTATGGACGTATTTAATATTCCTTCCAGTTATTGACTTCTTGTACTTCAATACTTTTATTTCCTAAGTCTGTGTTATGCCAATTTGTTTGTTTTTCTTTCGGTTCCAGACAGCGAATAAACCCTTTACCAGTTGGTGAAGATGTAATGAGTTAACTTTTTTTTCCAACTGATTACGAGGCATTAAATCCATATGTAAGGGAAAGAAAAAGATAAGCTTCTGCATGAAATATACACAATGATGACATCTACAAAACATTCATTGATACGATTACTTTTATTTAATCCAAACTAAGTAGTAATCCTTGTTTTTAATGTAATCCTTTTTTGTTCATATCTAACACCTTTTTCATTTGCTATTTGGTTAAAAGTGTTTCTTATGCTGCATATTTCAAGTTTTAGTAAAAAAATTCGTACTTTACATAATAACTCAATGACTAAATCAGAAGTACTGTAACAGCTAGAATCACAATGTTGTTCATCATCCTTGTTCATCTTGTCAACTAAGGACTGCCTCAAATGTGAACCAACCACCCAAGTGTGAGAGAGATTTATCCCACGAGAGCAATCTATCGCCAAAGGTGAAGGATTGCTTGAAGAATCCTCCTGCAATATATCTCCTATTCTAGACAGGATGCTGAAGGCTAAATTTGCTAGAACTCTGGAATAAGCTTCCAAAATGGAATATCCAATATCCTACAGAAACAGAAAGAAACCACATTACCACTGAATGTATACCAGAAATCTCAACCTTAATGACAAACTTTTGGCTCTGGACGATATTGATACTTTACTTTGCTGTTCTGTTTGCATTTTTACTTTTTCCTTTAGATTTAAAACTGAATATTACATGGATTAATGCCAATGAAAGATAAAACTGAAAACTAAGATTTAGGCTCTGGATAATACTGTCTATTTTCAAAAACTGTTTCTGATTTTCAAAATAAAAATAAATAAGGTTGCTCAAATAATTGGTTGAGGTTGGTACAAGGCCCAAAAAGAGTGAGAAATTGTTGTAGTACATAATTTTCTTTAACGCCTGCAGTATATAATAATTAAGCAGCAAAGAAAAACTATAAAAAAGGTGTCCACTCCGACACCAGCTTCCAACCTAGCTTACGCATCCCCTCCTATTATCCTATGAAATCCCATAAACAATTGAAACAACAAAGTAAAGTTAGACAGTAGAACGTATATACTGCTTTTGTCCTTATATATAAGACCATTTTAACTAATTCATAGGAATTCAAAAGATTGCTTCATTTAGTCTGAGGCATTAAATTTGCTAACAGTTTACCCTTAAAAACATTGTGACTCATCATCTCAATGTTTCTACCTATTTGCTAACAGTTACATCGGACAATATTGTGGCAAGTCATATTTCTCAATCTTCGTCCAAGAAAGAGATAATTTAGTTTATCCTATTATTCTACAACATCTATTGTTTATTGACAACAAACTAAAAGTAATTAGGGGCATTTTGATTTAAAAAAATTGCAAAATACATTTTTGAAAGGAGTTTTACAACAAAGGACGAAAACTTTTCTCAAAAGACACCTGTATATAGGGTTGAAGGTAGCATATGCCACACATCATGCATGCAAAGCCCAGAAAAAAACCTGATTCAAAGTCTAATGTAAACTTTCTAAATGTGGGGGCAATAAAAGGAGTAGATAGGATGAGCAAAAAGATATATAAAGTGGGTTGGGAGAAGGAATCATCACCTTCTTGAGCTTCCCAAAGGCATACATCAGCCCATTGTAAGAATGAATATCAGGACTCAACCCAAAATTAGATCCAATTGACTCAAAAGTTTGGTAAGCTCGATCAAGGTCCCATATGTTTGCACATCCTAAAATGATGCAGTTTAGAGCAGCAACGGATTTATAAGGATTCTCTGCACGGTTTAAATTCTCCAGTTGAAAATAAACCTAAATAGAAGAGAGCATGATTAGAAGAAGTTGGAGTTGAATGTAACATTATTAAGAACTACATGCATGTCAACAATTGAAAGACGTAATATAAATGTAACATATGACATAGCAACATGGAATTTTTTCTACATATATGTCAAAAATGATAAACTTTGTAATCTATTTCCAAATGAAAACTTGCCAATATTAAAACTAGTAGAGTCAATAAAAATTATATGCATCATAGGAAAAGATATACATTATCTAGAGTCTCAAAACCCTTCTTGGAGCATGCCATAACCAATGGATGTAATGAAGTAAATGGGCAGAACAATTCTTCAGCTTCTTGACCAGAGTCTCCATAAGCCAACTCAAACTCATTCAGAGTAGAAGCCCTTTGTAGATTTCCCAATGATGCAAGGGCATATATCTTCCCAATATATGACTCAGGATTAGGAGCTTTCTTTTTACGCAATGAGTGGTCCAAAACAGCCCATGATGCCCGTAGCAACTCAGAATTATAGGTTCTACCAGCAGTCACCTTCATCTACAGACAGAAATAAAGGGGGTCTTTGACGTTCACCCTTTACAATCCACGTACCCATATACTCCAGGCCATCAAAAGCTAATTTGCAATTATCCTCTCGAGTTGCAGTTTCAACAATAAAATTGCACAAGTCCCAGTTGGGGCAAAGAGCTTTGTTTTGATCTGATCCCTATAAACAACAATGAGATTTGAGAACATTAATAGAAGAAATATGAAGTTATTAGTAAATTTTTTACAGAAAAATTTATGGCTAAATTGAAATTTATATATTTTATAAAATAATTATATATAAAAAATTTATATATAATATATATAATTTATAAATAATTATTTTTTTTAATTTTAATTTGATATATATTTTATTTGTAATTATTTAATGGATATTTGAAAAACAAATCGATTATAATCAATTATTCGAAAAGTTAATTGAATATAATCCATCATTTTAAAAAATAATAGACAAGAAATGATTGAAATTGAGTAGTTGAAAAACTAATTGATTAGTTTTTAAAATAATCGATTAATTTTTCAAATATATATTAAATAATATATATATATATATATAATATTTTATTTAAATTTTATAATTTTAATTTAAAGTTTTTAAAGATTTATATATTTATTAGATTAATAATATATTTAGATTTATTATTGAAAGTATTAAAATAATATTTTTAAATGATATTATAAAATATCATATTTATATTTTATTTGTATGATTACTTTTTAAAAAAAAATTATTATTTGATATTGTAATATTTTTTTAGAAATTAATAAAAAAAATATATTTTTAATGTTAAATCAATTATATATTATATAAATTATAATTTTATATATATATATATATATTATAGATAAATTATAATTTTACATCAAAATATTATTTTATCTTTTATATAATATATATATATATATATATATATATATAATTTTTAAGATTTTTCTTATCCTCCTAATTTATTATTCATTTCTAAAAAAAAATTATAATATCAAATAAATAAAAAATTAAAAAAAATTAACCATACAAATAAAATATAAATATAATATTTAATAATATATTTTAAAAGTATTGTTTTACTTCTTTCAACATTAAATCTAAATATATTATTAATTTAAAAAATATATAAATCTTTTTAAAATTTTAATTTGATTCTGTAAATTTTAAATAAAACATTATAATTATATATATATATATATATATATATATATATTGAAAGATATAAAATGTGTAGGAAGGCAAAGGTTAACGTAAATGGAAAATAGAAAGAAGTTGTAAATTCGCTGTGTATTATTCAAAGATAACTGCTAACTTAAATAAAGCCACTGAGAAAACAGAATAGATCTCGGTTGGAGTGTGACCCTAATTTATTGGAAAGCGCCTACTGATTAGGAGTAAATGCCTGCACTATTAACATATTGCTAAACAGAATAATAAATAAAACAGAAAAACCTTAACAATCCCTCTCTTAAACTAATGCATCTACACTAGTTATTCCAATCATAGTCCGCAACCTTTGAAATTGGTCCAGCTTTAGAGGTTTTGTCATAATGTCCGCTAGTTGATCTTGAGAGCTACAAAATCGTAGCTTGATCGCTCCATCATTCACCAAATCCCTTAAAAAATGAAACCCGACATCTATGTGTTTGCTTTTCCCATGAAACAATGGGTGTTTGGATAGTTGAATTGTAGAACTATTATCACATAGAATCTCAACTGCAGTTTCATTCTTAAGCCCAATTTGTTCTAGCAATCGGTTTAGCCAAATACATTGACAAGCACATAGAGCTGCCGCCATATACTCTGCCTAAGAAATTGCCCCTGTTCCTAGTATAAATACGTAGCTCGAAGTACTTTTTCTATCGTCCAAATCTCCGAGCATAATCGCTATCAGAAAAGGCTAGTAGTCTTAAACTACTAGTTCCCTTTTTATACCAAATGCCAAGACAGATCGTACCTCGATGTACCTCAAAACGCGTTTTGCTGCTAACCAAGTGTGTTGTAGTAGGATTGGTCATGAATCTACTAAGTAAACTTACTCGTATACATCAAGTCCGGCCTAGTGGCAGTTAAATACATAAGACCGCCAATTAATTGTTTGAACAAAGTTTCTTCAACACCTTCGTCCTTCGTATTCTTGGACGATCGAGTCCCTGGCACCATGGGATTCTTTACCTGCATTGCTGTCCCGCATACCAAAACGAGACAATATCTACTGTGCATACCTCCTTTGACAAACAAAAATGCCAGTCGAGTATTGTTTAACCTCAATACCAAGAAAGTGACTCATTGTTCCCAAATCAGACATATCAAAATGAGCCATCATGGATCGTTTAAACTCCTCACACATAATTCTATCATTTCTAGTGAATATCAAATCGTCAAGCATACAAACCGACAATTAAAATTTTACCTCCTCGTGAGCGAGTGAACAATGTGTGTTCACTAGGACACTTCTCAAAATTTTCTTGTACAAAGTAGGTCTCAAGTTTGTGATACCAAGCTCGAGGTGCTTGTTTAAGACCATACAATGCTTTCTTTAGTTTATATACCTTCTCTTCTTCTCCTTTCTTCACAAAACCTTCAGGTTGTAAGACAAATATATCTTCTTTAAGTTCTCCATGAAGAAAGGTACTCTTGACATCAAGTTGGAACACCTTCCAGCTAAATTGAGCAAGCGGTAGCTAGAATTAATCTAATGGTATCCAATCTAGCAACTGGAGCAAAAACTTCAGTGTAGTCATTTCCATGTTTTTGGGCATACCCTTTTGCTACAAGTCTTGCTTTGTGTTTTTCTACTGTCCCTTCTACATTGAGTTTGGTTTTAAAAACCCATTTAACTCCAATTGATGTAACTCCATCCAAGTAAAGACGTAAGTTCCCATGCCACATTTTATTTCAATTTTGCGCATGTTTCATTTCTTTTACTTTAATTTAATTGAATACTAAACCTATTACATACATTTCAAGTATCATTAAGAAATAATTTAACTAATTAAAATAAAATAAAAATATATGTATTGCAATTTGAGGATTGAACCAAAATTACAGACTTTCTCAAAAAAATATGGGGACTAAAGTCACAGAAAAAATATAGTGACTAAAATCACAGATCAAGAATTATTACAAATTAGCTAAAATTTATTATGCATCAACAAAACTAATCACTCACCCTGCACCTTTCAATTATTGTCACCAATGTATAAGCCTTCCTCACACAATTCATAAATACCTTCATTGACAAGACATTACTGGATTTTAAAATTTGATCTATATATTTGAATGCAGTATCACTCTGGTCTGTGGAAAAAAGCATTCCAAATATGATTCCAAATAAATTTATAATTTTTTTTAACTGTCATATTTATTAAATAACTCATAATTTTGATAAATTTGTATAATTGTATAATTTTATATTAAAAATTACGATATTCTACCTTTGTACCGTACACTCTCCTCTGTATATATTATTATTA